GAGAACCTCTCGTAAGAGAACTGAAAAATATAAAATATAAATTTTAGATGAAAAACTTAAGTATAAGTAAATAAGTATAAGTACTATAATTAGGCTACATTTACACATTCAAAATATAAATATGTAAAATATGAACAAATACTAAATGATAAGCACTAAAATACTGTTATTATCAATGATTTTCACAAAATTAATAAATAACAATAACAATACCATATATAATACTAAAATAACACTTTGAAAAAATGAAAATGGGACTAAATGAATATAGGACATTTTTGTCCCATGCCTAAAGAATAAGTATCTCTCGGAAAAGAGCATGTGCTCATTCTCTCACTGAAAAGATCTGGATTGCACAGAGAAACATTGCAGCATTAGAGAGATTTGCTCTGAAGTCTGGTGAAAACAGCTTAAAATATGTATTAAACAAAGGACACATTAAAAGCCTGGACCAAATGTGCTGTAAAAAAAAAAAAAAGAAGAGAAAGATTTTAGTCTCTGAGTCCTAGGAGCTCCAACTGGAGCACAGGACAGATGTAGAAGAGCTATATATATATATATATATATGTTTCGGTACAGTGTGACATCATAATTCATGAGCTTGCCTAAAAGTTTGAGTGTCGTTGAATTCATGAACTTCATGAACTGTTGAGCAGCATGCAACAGTAGTATTTCTATGTTATATATATATATATATATATATATATATATATATATATATATATATAATATATACATTTCGGTTCAATACGAATACATGTACCGTCCCACCTCTAAGTTATGCCTATATTTATTTACCAAGACACCTGACCAACTCTCCACTGGTTCTCTTCACACCAGATATTTATGTTTCTTCGATAGGAATTATTTAAATTTCTGTTTGGTTCCTCATCTGTCTCACGCCTGGGAGGCTCAAAATTGTAAGGCTGTAGCGATCGTAGGTTTGAGGGGGATTTTGGATATATATATATATATACAGATATATATATATATATATAAATATATATATAACATAGAAATACTACTGTTGCATGCTGCTCAACAGTTCATGAAGTTCATGAATTCAACGACACTCAAACTTTTAGGCAAGCTCATGAATTATGATGTCACACTGCACTGAAACAAGCTTTGTTCTTAAATATTTGAAATAATTTAGGTTATCAGGCTGGTCTTAAGTTGTTCATACTGGAAGTATAGGTCACACATGTTTAATTAATACATCACTTTATTTATACTACACTTTTAATACTCTTTGCTCATATCTGACAGAAGTCTCTATACCTATTTCTTGAGCACAATCAATCCCTACCAACATTTTGTGCATCTCGCAGTCAGTACTGGTTTTTACTACAGGTCATATCATATTGAGACTTATGCATGAACATACACTTCAATATTTGTCTTTGTGCATTTTTAAGCTAAGTAAATGGTAAATTACATAGTGCCTCACATTCACCCATTCACTCACTCATTCACCGACGACGTCAGAAGCAGCTTAGGTTAGGTGTCTTGCTCATGGACTCCTCGACACTTGGTCGGGTGGACCAGCTGGATGTCAAGGAGACAGAGATGTTAATGTCTCTCAGATCTTAGAATAACTCAATCAGCTCTCAACACAGCACTTCCGTATTAATGACATTCTACTATGTTTCTCCTTTGAAGTCATCATGAAGTATGTAAAAGCAACATCTGGGAGTTCAAAGTGGGTTGCATGCACAAACAGCAATTCTGGATTCGTGTGCTTTGCTCATGCAGTTTTTGTTGTTTTCAAGGCCGTACTCACGGATTCATGAATATTGCATTACTCTGTCCACAGGGAAATTATACATATTAAGATAACACAAAGATTAAAAGTGTTTGCAGGATATAGGGTGGATCGGTATAAGGTACTCTGTCATAAAATGGTTAACAAACAGTTACAATCTCTGCTCATAAAATTTCCTTTGGCAACTTACACATGCAAAGAACACAACATAATTCTGTTTCAGGTCAAATCTATATAAATCACATAATGCTTCAGCATATATTGTGGTTATTTTACAGTAGGCCTATAATATATTTTATATGGAAATTGAAATCAGAACAGACAGCCCATTCTCACTCCCAAGGCGTCACCTAACTGACGCCTTGGGAAGCATTTGGACATGCTTCAATATCTGACGCTTTAGGCGCCCTTTAGCGTCAGTTAGATGACGCCCTAGGATCGCATGTACCCTACCCCCACCCCACACCTAAACCTAACCGCGTCCTCTAACTGACGCTTTCCTTTAGCGTCAGTTAGATGACGCCGTAGGATCGCGTCATGTAAGTGACGCTAAAGGGCGCCTAAAACGTCAAATATTGAAGCATGGTCAAAGGTGACGCCTTGGGGTGAGAATGCGTTGGAACAGATGTACAGCTCCATGTCATTACAGTACCGGCCTTACTGCTTATAGTCTGATCCTCGGGTCATTTCTGAGCTGATCTTGTAAGGCTATATAATGATCAACTTAAATTGAACCTCACTCTGCTAAGAGCAAAACTATATAGCACATTCAAATCGACTGTCACTGTAAGCAACAACAGCATATTGTATGCATTAAATATCAATCTGTTTAATAAATTAGTTCCACCATGTAATAGCAGTGCAATATAGTTATGAAATAGATTGTTTATCTTATGTCTACATATTGTAGGCATTACAATGTTTCAAATAAAGATTGATGACCATTTTTTTCAACCATTAACCAGTTGAAAAAAAAAACTTTGAGTTTATTAAGATTGAATAATCAACATAATAATCAACTAAAAAGGTAATCAAAGATGAATTAATAATAAAACTATTAAATTACCTTTTTAGAGTTTCCGTTTGGTCAGAGCATATACACAGCATCAGTGTGTGAGAAAGCAGAGGCCAGAGTTCATATAGCCCACTTACAGCAGTGCACAGACTAAACATCTGTACTACACACCACCTCACACACTCACCCGTCTGCTGTCCCAGAGGAAATCCCCAACATCAGCTGCAGTCTGCTGGCTTTGTGGCGGTATGAAGCAGGGGCAAATCATGTGAGGCTATGACAGCGAGCTTTCAAGAGATGATGGGCTTAAGTTCAATCTGGAGTCATTGTGCATACTGTATGTTACCTTAGTGTGCAGCTAAGAGTGTCCAGCTCTATGATGCATTTGTCTTTATTCCGCATTAGGCAGTGCATTGAGTATTCCCTTTTTTGGTTGCAAAGCTCACATTAAACATCAGGACAAAGTATGCCTACCTACGGTGTAATAAATTTTGAGACTTTGAGAAGTTTTACCACAAACAGAAAGAGAGCTAAATTAGAAAGTTAACTAGAGAATTAGACTAATCTTAATGACAATTATGGTATTAATTATTTATATTTTCAATTTTGAACCTGAAGAAGAAAGACTGAGAAGCGATCTCTCTCATAAGAGGTCTCTCATAAGCGTGCTTGAGTATTCTCCATATTGAGCGCGACATCGCAGCGCCACCCAGCGGCTTGCAATAGATGGACAGCTCAAAATCAAATGACATTCTGTCCTTGGCTTTAAAATCCATTTTGGTTTCTGAAATAATAAAAAAGTAGATAATTTCGACTAGCATCTAGTTTAGAAATGAAATAAAATTATGATAGCTAGATTAATAATAATAATATTCATATTTACTGATACTTAGTTTTTCATTTATATAATAAATTGATGTAAACTAATATTTTTGTCATATTAATAATACTAAAATACAAAATACGTAAGAGTTAAAATGTCATCAACATTACATGTGATTATTCTTTGTTTATTCTTTATTTCAGACCCATGGGCCGGTCCATATAGACTAACAAACAACATATAAACAGACACCAAACAAATTTAAAAGACATACAATCTTTCTTTTCAATGCTTCCAAAAACAAGAAAAATACCTTGTATCACTCAATGCAATGTCATTAAAGACCCTAATAATACTGTTAGTTGAAACACTCAATCTACATCTACAAAATTATACATACATTTTCTTAAAACAGCATTCAACATAGGCACATATAACCGACAGTTGACTTGCACTTGACCATCTTGGGTGCTTAAGCAAAATTCTAGGCCTAAGTGTTTATTGAATGCCACCTGAAGCTTTCTCATCTTTGCTTTAGAGTATTTACACCAAAGGTGGGATGTATATAAAGAAGTAAAGTATGCCCTAAATAGAGTTATTTTAACCTCATCTGTACACATATACAATTTAAGAGCAAGCCGCCTGCCCATACAGTTTACAGCACTGGCGTTGCACATCATCATCATCATCATCATCATTTAGATAATTTTTAATGATGTGACCTAGGTATTTTACTTTATTTACTACATTTAAAACTTGATCATCTAAATAAAAAGAAGGAAAATTTTGTTTATGTTTTTCTTTAGCTTTAACAATCATGATAATAAAACTCTTTTTAATATTGAATTTTATGTCATGCTTCATACCATAGCTTGAACAAATTCGAAGCAACTGTTGTAAGCCAGCACTGTACGGACACATAATAACTACATCGTCAGCATACATTAAATGATTAATGAAACTATCACCTATCAGGCATCCAGTCACTCATTTAATTCCATATATATATATATATATATATATATATATATATATAGTATATATATATATGTAGGCTATATGTTATGCCTAAAGAACATATATTATACAAGGCCAATATATATTATGTATATATTAATATACATAAATTATCATTATTGTTGTGTTATTATACATTAAATTACCATGTATTATTCTTTATTAATATATTATTATCAATTGTTTTGGTTTGCCATTTGGTGTAGGCCTACACTTTAGCATTTCTGTGTAATATATAATAATAATAATAATAATAATAATAAAACAACAATAAAAATAAAATAAAATAAAAATAAACTATTAGGCGAAGTTTACTAAACAAGTGTTTGGGAAAAAACTACATATCCCGAGATCCACAGTGACAGTCATCGTAGGAATCCATGGTCTGTTTGTTTGGGGAAGGGAGGCGTCTGTCCTCGGCTCTCACTCTTCTCAAAGTTCTTCTGCGCTGCAGCTCTTCCTTCGTTCTGTGGTGACTGATGAATAGTCACAATGTGCTGTGATTCCTCACGCAGGCGGGCTGTGTGTGTGTGAGAGGGGGAGGTGAAAGTTCACCATGGCTTGGCCATATCAAGTGACAATGTGGAAAAGTTAGGCTGCCTCCTCAGATTAAATTTCCCAAACTCAGAGAATGACAAGCGAAAGGAGCTACATTGAAGTGGACGGAGAAAACGAAGCGCTACCGTTCGAATATTTTGACGACGATGATGATTTCGACACATTCACTGACGGGGACGGAGACTGCGGCTGTGATGAAGGAGGTTAGGGGATAGATTTAATTTTGCACTCATAAATAAGGGCACATCTATATTTTACATGTTTATAAACGCCAACGGGCGCAAAGTGTAATTCCATTACAGAAAATGTTAACAGTAAGTCCCTATAAAATAACAGTTACTACAGGTCACAGAACTGTGGTTAGGCTATTTGATGTTATTAGCTACCAAATGTAAAAAAATAAATACATATTTAATAATAAATAGTCAATTTATTTTATAAGCTTCTTACAATGTTTGAGATTATATTTAAATTTATCATGTTTAAAAGTAGGCCTACTAATAATAGTTTCAGCAACTAGTGTTTTGTTGGAAACTTTGGCTCGTAACTTGATAATATAAAAAAATAAAAAAAAATAAAAAAAATATTCTTCCTCTTACTATGTATTATGGTTTTAAATGGAATACTAGCCCAATAACTTACTACTGTAAGGTGTTTTGGTAGGAACTGTGTTTTGGTAAATGTTCATAAGAGATTTATTAAAAAGGGAACTGTCTTACTAAATTAAAAACTGTGGTGATTTGGCATTAGCCACCAGTCCAGTATCACAAAAAATAGCTGTTTGAAACAGTGATATGGTTTTGAAAGTAGCAACAAACTGTAACCTAAATTGGTACTTCTAATTGGTGGAAATACTATGGTAAATATTTACAAGGGGTTTATTAATGAGAGTGCACACATTTCTTACCTTGTCTTGCCTGGTTTTATTTAAAGACCATCTGTTAAGTTTGTGTATGGATTTGAGTGATTTAAGTTTGTGAAAGCTTTGCGTCGGGTGGTTCTTTGTCTCCATGTCGTGCATTAAAATCATTTAATTCACAGCTATCCGTGGATTATCCCATTTATACCATGGTAATTTGCCAGCATTGTCAAGTTAAAGCTGTCATTGGTATTCGCAGCATTAAATTTGAATGAAAGGGCTAAAATGACGCTCACTGTTATTTACGTCAGCTATCACTCGTTAGTTCTAACATTCTGCCTGCTTTAAATCAGAGAGAAAAAGTAGTGTGGTAAGGTTATGTTTATTTGATTTAATTATAATATTTATTTAAATGAATTAGCCTATGGAGAGAGAGAGCGAGAGAGATAGAGAAATGTGTGTGTGAATTACCTGCGTCTGTGCAGCTTTAGCAATGAAGCTGTGAGTTTAATTACTTCAAAAACAGCAACACTGCAATCTCCTTGCTCTTGCTGCATATTATAATGTAGCGATTTAGTAGAAAAGTTAATTTATTAATAAAAAAAGTCACAGGGCAGCATTGACTAGTTTCTGTTTCTGTTTTTGAGCAGCACTATCTTCAATCAGGGTTGCCAGGTCTCCATAACAAATCCAGCCTGGTTGCTATTCAAAACAAGCAATCACAGCCAAAACTAGCTTGCTTGCTTCAACCCGTGAAAGTCGCTGTCTCTGATCTCTGTCCACGAGTGACGTATGAGCTTCAAAAAAACAGTGCATTAATAGAGAACAGAAATTAGACTTGGAACTACCCGTGCATTAAACTGTCGAGTCGAGTGTTCAGACAGAAGGCATCATTTAGCTTCAAGCTTCAACTTACAAGATTTCTTAGAAAGCAATTTGATTTTTAAGCTAAGCATTTCTTATGACTCTTTCCATTGTGTTTACACACAACTTAAGAAACAAACGATAATTGTCAGCTGAAGTTTTCCTGGATTTGCTTTTTTACAATTAGTTGTTTACCCGTTTAACAAACACCAACACACTGCTACTCCTCACTATGTGGTGCCCCTGTTAGACACTTCGATAAACACTGCAGGCTGTATTTTGAGACTAGAAGTGTCCCTCAGTCTCACCAAATGCAGTTGACATTCCTCAGCTGAGAGCTAGCAAGGTCACAGTCATCAAATCATCTGCAGCATGTGATATGAAGGAGTGGAATGCCAGTGTAGGCTGTGCCCACAACTCCACCAGTCATCCTGCTGATATGATTTAAACTGATGAGATGTGTATGCCATTTCTCTTTTCACTTCTTAGCTATACATGCCTAATGGAGAGTGTATGAATTTGTCCCCCCAGGCAGCAGATGTTATTAACAGCAGTTTGTGGCAATTTTAGATGTTAAAGTATTGTGCAATGATGCAGAATGATACTGTTTTGAAATTAAATAAAAATGAAAATTATTCTCAAAAACCGTGCATTGCAAAACTTTGCATTCTTGGCGTATACCCAGATCATCTTTCTATCAATAATAATCAGAGGACTCTTATTGAATTTGGCCTCTTGCAGGCTAGGAGGATAATTGCTTTGAGTTGGAAAGAGATCGAAATATCTTCTGCAAATTCTTGGATTAAGGAGATGGCAATGTGTGTTACTTTAGAGAAATTAACGTACAAGAGGTAAAGCGCAGCAATTTGAAGAGATGTGAGCACCTTTAATTGATTTCCTTAAGAAATAGGAGGGTGCATATATTAATGTTTTAAGTGTGACATATTTTTGTTCGGTTTTGTTTTATTTTAATGGCTGCTACTCTGATTAATATATTTGAAATGTTTCTGTAAATTATTTTTTTATATATATTTTTATTTTTTATATATTTTTGTGGTGTTATTTTTGTTATTTGGTTACTGTTTGTTCTATTGGAAAATCAATAAAAAAAACATTGTTGGAAAAAAAAAGAAAATTATACAAATGCCGCCTGCGCCTTTAATCTTTTTATAATACGTTTTATGTCAAAACATTCATGGTTTCGGCTATCTACAGGAAAATAAAAACAATGTTTAGCCATCATTTTTGTTATCCTTACATGCAGATCTTTTTTAGGTGTACTTTCATTTTGGACTAGTTATTATCATTTTCAATTCAAGACTTTCAATTAAATACTTTCTGTATTGGCTACAGTAAACATAACCAACGTCAATCTTTTGTCAATCAACCTTGAGTGATTCCAGTAACCACGGTGACAAGATAATTGCAGACTTGGCAGTAAATATCAAGCCGTTTCGCTTTTTTTAGGAACTTTTTGAGTAATTCAATATACTCCAGCTGTGTCTCACTCTATGAGCGCAGTTTCCCCTAACATTAGTGATTGACAGCAAAATCTCATGCTATAGGCGACGTCAGTGATGTGACAATTAGCTGTTAAAGGGATAGTTCACCCAAAAATGAAACAAACACAAAAGAAGACATTTTAAAGAGTGTTTGTAACAAGGCAGTTTATGGTCCCCAGTATTTCCTACTATGGAAGTCAATGGGTGTCTTTAACCGTTTGATTACCAGCATTCTTTGAAATATCTTCCTTTGTGTTCACCAGAAAAAATAAACTCGTACAGGTTTGGAACAACATGAGGGTGAGTCTGTTCATGCCATACCCAAAACCCAACTCCCTCACATTTCCTGGAAATATAAGGTTGTTCCTATCAGTTCTGTGTATAAAAAGGGACATATATAGCATTACAGTACAAAACCGACAATACTATAGTACTAAATTAGTAAACAAACATAAACTGAATTTACCAATAGAAATCTTTTCTAACAATGTAAAAGGCTGTCACTTTTGGTCAATTTCATGCATCCTTGTTAAATAAAGGTGTTAAACTAAATTAATCTTACTGACCCCAAACCTTTGAACATTAGTTGTGGTATAGCTGTGTCACTAGCAGTTCATTTTGGCTCAGTTTAGTTGTTTGAATTCTGCCTTTGGTTTACCATTAACCAAAAATAGCCTGCGTGTTAATGCTGCATATTCTCAAGTAGTGTTCCTGTGTTTGGCTGTTGTACAGTGCTGGGGTTCAGTGATCCGTTCAGCAGCGAGGTGAAACCGCGGATCCTGCTCATGGGCCTGAGGCGAAGTGGCAAGTCTTCCATTCAGAAAGTCGTGTTCCACAAGATGTCACCCAACGAGACTCTCTTTCTGGAAAGCACCAATAAGATTTGCCGAGAGGATGTTTCCAACAGTTCCTTTGTCAGCTTCCAAATCTGGGACTTTCCTGGTCAGATTGATTTCTTCGACCCCACATTCGACTATGAGATGATATTTCGCGGCACAGGGGCTCTCATCTTTGTCATAGACTCGCAGGTGAAGACTATCTGTCTGTCTGTCTGTCTGTCTGTCTGTTTATTCAAAATTGCTTTATTGGCATGACTGTACATAATACAATAAAGCCAAAGCTTGGAATAGATAGAATAATTATAAAGACATCAAAATAATAAAATATTATAAAATGACTTCATGTACAAACTAACAGTGTAACAAATTAAAATTTGATACCATTGTGTTTTAACATATACGTGCCACCACCACAGGTCAATAGAGTAACCAGAGCAACTACCAGAGGGGACTGTATAGTAATATAGACAATATAGAATCTAGACAATATAGTAATATAGACAACGTAGGATTGGAAACAGCCTTTTCTGCCAGAGCTACAATTTTTTGGAATAGTCTGCCCAATGAGTTAAGGGACTTTAATAGTCTCTCCTCTTTTAAAAAACAGCTTGAATCTTGGTTTAGGGACAATTACAATTGTAACCATACACCAAATACTTAAAGGAGTAGTTCACTTTTAAAAAAAACTTTTGCTGTTAATTTACTCACCCCCATGTCATCCAAGATGTCCATGTCTTTCTTTTTTCAGTCGAAAAGAAATGAAGGTTTTTGATGAAAACATTCCAGCATTTTTCTCCATGTAATGGACTTTACTGGTAACCAAACGGTTCAAGGTCCAAATGAGAGTTTCAGTGCAAACTGTTCAAAGGGCTTTAAACGATTCCAGACGATGAATAAGGGTCTTATCAAGCGAAACAATCGCTAATTAAAAAAAAAAAGGCTTAAGTTTTAAAAGCTCAAACGCTGGCCTTGCTCTGTTCAATTGTTGAGTTTGTAGTGCTTTAAAATATTTTGTCTGTCTAAAAATCTGTCTGTCTGTCTGTCTTAAAAACACACTGTGATGTCTTCCTGTTCAGGATGATTATGTGGAGGCACTGAGTAGACTTCACCTCACTGTGACAAGAGCCTACAAGGTCAACCCAGATATCAACTTTGAGGTGTTCATCCACAAGGTGGATGGGCTGTCAGATGACCACAAGATTGAAAAACAGAGGGACATACACAAACGAGCCAATGATGATCTAGCTGATGCCGGTTTAGAAAGAATACACTTAAGGTATGTATTATAACTGCTCAGAGATTGTGGCAGTTTTAAGAAATACAGTATCTTCAGATGTTGGAATTGTGATGTGAAATGTATTATTTCTTTCAGTTTCTACTTGACGAGCATCTATGATCATTCAATCTTTGAGGCTTTCAGTAAAGTTGTGCAGAAACTCATCCCTCAACTTCCCACCCTTGAGAATCTGCTTAACATTTTTATATCTGTGAGTAGCTGAACATCTTTCAGTTCTCTGTCTAGAGTTTTAACTCTGACTAGTTTTAATATCTTGGTTTCGCTTATTTTCAGCATTGATAAATCTTATCAGTGATGAATATATATATATATATATATATATATATATATGAAGAGTTCAGATGCAAAAGCCTCTAAGTGCCATTTGAAATTTTCTTCTAGAATGATCATTTTTATCAAGATTGTATATTTAAGTTCAGTGATTTCACTTAAATGGCAATGATAATTACCTATTAATTGTTATTTAAGTGAAATTACTGAACTTAAATATACAAGTTTGATAAAAATCATCATTAAAGAAGAAAATTTTAAATGGCATTTAGAGGCTTTTGCATCTGAACTCTTCATATATATATATATATATAATTTTTTGTGTGTGTCTGTGCATGAAATGAGGTAGTAAGAATTGACCAATTATGATATCATTGGTTGTAAATCATGATGGAAGTCTTATTTAGCATTAAGAGCAATACATTAATTATAACTTGCAAAGTGGTTTCAGTATCAAGAACATGTCAAAAGAAATTATGTATTTGAGGTTTTTTGCTAATCATTTTCACATATAGACGCATAACCAGAAAGCATAATTTGCTATCTGTTGCACATTAAATATGGTCACATTCATCCATTAGCATGGGTACATTTGCACTGCCCTGTGATTTGCTGCTTGAAGTAAAGTATAATGGAAAAAATATTCAACGTGATTATTAAAAAACCCATTCTTATTTATTATGATCTCTCCCAAACGTAATATAATTGCTTGGTGCTCGTGTTTTATTTTTATGTTGAGCAGAAAAGCAATCACATTTAGCAGAATCATAAATACTTGAGCAGTTCGCCAGCTGGAGGCAGCAGAGGTTAAATTGACTATGCTACAAGTTTGAAAGCTGAACAATTTATAGATTTGACATTATGTAGACTAGAGTGAAATCTCTTAACCGTCTGCCAATGCATTGTGATATATTAATCTGTTTTTTATAGATTTGTGTTCTTGATCTCTGTCCCGACACTGGGAATATATTTAAATTAGATTATTTACGTAGATTGTTGTCCAAAAGTTTGGGTCAGTAAGATTTTTTTTTTAAAGAAGTTAATACTTTTATTCATCAAGGATGCATTAAATTGATTTGAAAAGTGACAGTAAAGACATTTACAGTATTTCGAAATGTTTTCTATATTAAATAAATGCTGTTCTTTTGAACTTTCTATTCATTAAATAATCCTGAAAGAAAAAAAAAACCGTTTTCAATATTGCTAATAATAAGAAATATTTTTTAGCTCCAAATCAGCATAATAGAATGATTTCTGAAGCATCATGTGGCTGAACACTGCTGAAAATTCAGCTAAATTGTAATAATGTTTTGCAATATTACAGTTTTTCTGTAAGTAATTGCAGCCTTGGTGAGCATACATTTTTTTACTTTTGAATGAAATGAACAATATAGTTATTTAATATATATATATATATATATATATATATATAATTTAAAGTATTTAACTACAATTTAAAACCTACTATCATGCTTTTACAAACTTAAAAACATCAGTCACAAAAGTCACATTTATCTTGGGAAGAGGATTTCCAGTCTTCCAACAGCTTTTATAGAATTAGATGCTTTTTCTAACAGTACTTGCAATGCAGTTGATTACTTGGTTGCGTAATTCATTTCCACTTCAAAGTGTTCTAAGATATGATGTCCTGTTCCGCTGCATTTCTTCTTAAGAATAACTGTTGACCCCTAACCCGGCCCTGTGCTCTCATTGCAGAATTCAGGGATTGAAAAGGCTTTTCTCTTTGATGTGGTTAGTAAGATTTACATAGCAACCGACAGCAGCCCGGTGGACATGCAGACCTACGAGTTGTGTTGTGACATGATAGATGTGGTTATCGACATCTCGTGCATCTATGGGTGAGTGACACCTAGATTCCCCACCATCTCAATCCACAGTAACACGTTCTTATCCCATAGACATGAAGCAGCATGGCAAGCCTTGCGCCTTCCCTCACTTTAATTATTTCTTGCCATGCATCTAAAAATACACACACATTCTACATGCAACAACTTTGTTTCCCTATAGCCATTGCTGGCTGTGATTAAATCTTTTGTGGATTAGCAGCATATAACTCTGGGATATGTAAACATTGGAAGGGCAGAGAGTTGCACCTCCAGCACCGTCGACCCCATTTGTCCTGTAATTCGACGGGACACCGCGGTCTGAGTAGGTACAGGAACGCAGGCCTGACCCAGGGCAGCACAGCTGTCGGTTCGCAGTGGCTTGCGAGAGCAGATGGGCCACCTCAGCACTATCCCATGAATTGGGGAGCAGACAGCACTGTTAACCCTGCGAATTTTAGCCTTACTCGGTAACTGCCTCTCAGGAGTTTATTCGGTTCGGCCCATTTTTGCATTCCTGCTTGTGGGCTAATTTGGAGAATACGACTTTTATTTATATGTGTACATTATTCGAGCTGCTGTGAAATCAATTTCCGCAAGCCGGCTTGTTTATTACCCATTGAAATTAATAAGCTGCTTATTTTTTTTTCCTATTCATCATGTTCGCATTGATCCGTGCTCTCGGTATCAGGAAGCTTCAAATTACACCCATTATTGTGTCGTCTCAATTTGTTCATCATCATTTCTGTGCTTTCTTTTTTTGTGTGAAAATATTTCTATATTTGTAATATCCATGCATAATAGCATAACTTTGTTTGGTTATAAAAGCAGGGGATTATGACAGGGCATCTGTTCATTTTGATAATTGCGATATGAATCAACATCTGTTCCACACAGATACAATTTCCCTTTTTTTTTCAACTGTAGTCTGTTCTTTAGCTAAATTGGGAGAGGAAGCCGCCCGTCCTCGGAGGAAGCATGTGTTAATTACGGATTCATCATTGAAGGACAAGTGAAAAAAAAAAGCATGTAATGTATTTGGAACTCCTCTCACATGATGAGAGGTGGTTTTGTTTTTGGTTTTGATTATTCTTTTAAATGTATATATATATATACACACAGATTGACTGGAGATGAGGCAGGAACTCCATATGATAAAGAATCCATGGCCATAATCCACTTGAACAACACTACGGTCATGTACCTAAAAGAGGTCACCAAGTTTCTTGCCCTGGTGTGTTTCCTCAGGGAAGAGAGTTTTGAGAGGAAAGGTGAGCTTTCTGGACAACGAGGAAATATGTTTGGTGTAATATTATTGTTGAAATCTTCCATTCTCCATTTAGGGGAGACCAGGTAGTTGTCACATGGAGAAGTAGTCGAAATGGCTTCTTAGTGGTTCAGTAACATTCAGATTTTGATGGTTTTTTTGTGGGTTTTAATCAATTTGTTCAAAAACCTCTTAGCCATATGGTTCATTACTTTTTTGTGAGTAGAAAAATATTTTTACTGTTTAAATGTAGCTGAAAAGCCTGTTTAATTGCTTAATGGCAGGTTTCCATTCTCATGATCATACACTACATTTAATAGTTTAAGATTTTTTAAATGTTTTTTTAAGTCTCTTGTAATATTGTGAAATACTATTACAATTTATAGAAACTGTTTTCTATTTTAATATATTTTATGTCATTTATTCATGTGATGACAAAGCTGATTTTTCATTAGCCATTACTCCAGTCTTTAGTGTCACATGATCTGTAAGAAATAATTCAGATGTGCTGATTTGGTGTCTGTTAATGTCTGTTATAACATTTGTATTTTTAAAAAAATAAATTATCCCAAACTTTTAAACTTAAAAAAAAAAAAATAATAATAATAATAGTTGATTCCTATTGTGACAAGTTGCCACATGTAGTGGCATTCTCCAATTGTAGTTAAAATGAGTTTAATTGAACTGAGTATTTGATTTCCTTAGCAATTATGGTAAAAATTTGATTTTATTTAGATGTCATGAAGCCAAGCACAAACTGGCTTTTAAAAAAGTAAAACAGAAATACTCACTGGAGTAAAAACTGACAGCAAGGAGCAAACCCCTGTCTCCAGTTATCAATAGCAATATCAATATTCCTTGTACATTGTCCATTAAAGGGATAGGACCTGTATGAGTTTTTTTTTTCTTCCTCTTTTGAACACAAAAGAAGATATTTTGAAGAATGTTGGTAATCAAACAGTTGATGGGAGCCATTGACTTCCATAGCAGGAAAAAAAATACTATGGAAGTCAATAGCTACCAACATCGTCCGGTTACCAACATTTTTTTGTGAATGAATTTGTGAACAAAGAAACTTACAGGTTTGGAACAACTTGAGGGTGAGTAAATGATGATACAATTAAAATTTTGGGGTAAACTATACCCAACTATAAAGTTTGATGTGAATAAACCATACTAATGTGACATAGCTGATGCGCCAAATATTTTTGAACAATATCTTCATGTAGAACATATAGATTAAACTGAGACAACAGGAATAACCTATAGATCAGCTTTTACTAAAAATCTGTTTTTAGCAATTACAGCTACAGTAAAAAAAGAAGCTGCTTTCACAGAGAATGGGATAATTAGTGAAATCCTTGGGAAGCTAATGAAGTTTGAAATATTCATGCTAGGGAATACTAAGGAGGTTAGGGAGAGTATCATGAGAAACCATATTAGTCAGTGGGGAAAATAAGGCATATTACATAGGCGTGGATTTGTTCAGAGGAAACCCACAGCACTGACTTCTTTGATGACATAACTTAGCGTTTAATAGTATTATATACATTATAGTTATTTATTCACACTAATAGATCTTACTAGATCTTATAGAACTGAACTGATTCATTTTTGCTAAAGGCTATTTTACACTCATTTAAAACAGCAGTTCACTTTAAAAAAAAAAAACTTTTGCTGATAATTTACTCACCCCCATGTCATCCAAGATTATTCATGTCTTTCTTTATTCAGTCGAAAAGAAATTAAGGTTTTTGATGAAAACATTCCAGGATTTTTCTCCATATAATGGACTTCAGTGGGAACCAAATGGTTCAAGGTCCAAAAGACAGTTTGAGTGCAAACTGCAAACTGTTGAAAGGGCTTTAAATTACTCCAGACGACGAATAAGCGTTTTATTACGCGAAACTATCTGTTATTTAAAAAAAAAAAAAGTTTTAAGTTTTATAAGCTCAAACGTTCGCCTTGCTCTGTTCTGTGATGCATGTTCGTGACTCTTCTGTTCGAACTCGTTCATTAAAATGAATGAATCTTTTTTCGAGTCATTTGGTTCATTCAACAAACAAAAGGAACAAATTGACTCGGAAAAAGATTTGTTCATTTTTATGAACGAGTTCGAACTGGAGAGTCACGAACGTGCATCACACCCTACCCCTAACAGAGCATGGCCAGCATTTGAGCTTATAAAACTTAAACATTGTTGTTGTTTTTTTAAATGAGCGATCACTTATTCATCGTCTGGAATCGTTTAAAGCCCTTTGAACAGTTGGCAGTTTGCACTGAAACTGTCTTTTGGACCTTGAACCGTTTGGTGCCCAGTTAAGTCCATTATATTGGAGAAAAATCCTGGAATGTTTTCATCAAAAAACTTAATTTCTTTTCGACTGAAGAAAGAATGACATGGACATCTTGGATGGATGACGTGGGGGTGAGTAAATTATCAGCAAAAGTTTTTTTTTTTAAGTGAATTAACACATTTTATATATTTTATATTTTGTTTTAATAACTATTAATCGAATTAATGATTGTAATCATTAAAATCATAAATGGATGCATCCTTATTGGGACATTACTTAGGTCTGTCCCTAAAGGCCACCCACCCCTACGCCTACTTCTAACCCTACCCATTCCCTTCTAACCCTCTCAGTCATGCAAGTACAGCTTCCATCAATTTGAATGGAGAACATCAAATTCTCCAAAGCTGTTTACCAAGCTTTCAATTAAATGTCATATTTGAAATCACCAATGAAATCTGACAACAACTGTGTCCTAATTTTGTTTTATAAACGCTCAAATCATGACAAAAAAAATCAGCATTTTTGAGACTGGACCAGCCAGTGTGCACATACAGTCATTCACGCGTGTGAACACTGCAGCTGTCTTCAAAAGCTCTTTTTGCTACAGAAACAGTCAGTGACAATGTTTTAACCAATTTTTGATGTAGACGGTGGGACTTATTCCGCCATATTGCACATTGCACTTTCTCCAATTCATAGGATGTGTCCCAATTCAAAGGGCTACACATCCTTCGAAGGACTCGGACTTTAAAGGTCACGTCTTTGAAGGCTGTGAAGGTCAGACTGAGTATTATTAAATGGGATGGTCTATCCTAGGACTTTTCTTGTTGCCTAGCAACTGTGACATCTGCCATTGACTGACCCTAAAGTTTTATTAAAGTTATATTAAATTGTCTAAAAACTAAACAGGGTTCACAAACGGTCTAAATATATTCACTATGATCCATTTCTGTGTATAGTAAAAAGTAGACTAGATTACATAATCACATTTTAGTAACATACGTCAACATTTGAACTGCTTAAATATGCTTTTTATTTTTACATTTATATTATTATATATTCGAGTAAGTTAAAACCCAATAATTGCATTTAAAAGTGTAATTCAGTAATTTCTCCCAAAAAATCCTGTCTTCACTGGTGCACAATAAATGATGGCACAGCCTTCGTCGTGCCACATCGAATAAGTCTTTCGAGGGATGTAGTAATTTGAGTATATGAATATGATAATGTAATATGTATCTGTGTATGTCTTAAGTCTTTGGTTAAACTGAATATTTCATAATTTGTGAGTTCATAAAAGCAGTTGGCACCCATCAAGTGGTACTGAATATTGTACACTAGCTTTCATAGTATAGCTCCATGTAGGTGTTATTATAAATATTTAATGTAGATTTTTTTTTCATTCTCTTGATCAAAGATAAATGCCATCTCTTGTTATGTGTGTCAGTCTTAATTCAAAGTGCATTTATGCAGTGGACTAATTTGGGATTGGGTCGAACGACTTTCCTACCGCAGACTAGTTACACTTCTCTTTGCTCACACAGGACTTATCGACTACAATTTCCACTGTTTCAAGAAAGCCATAGAGGAGGTGTTTGACGTGCGCTTGAAAGTGCAGAGGAGTCGGAAGCTTCTGAGCCAAAGGAGGTGGAGCAGACAGACCGTGCCAAACGGGACTCAGGTGCATCCTCATTGAAGAGCATGGAAAGCCATCCAGCCTGTGACAGTGACTCGAGTGTGAAGGATTCACACAGACTTTGCTTGAGCTCCTTTTCACGGCCACTTACTGCTCTTCAGCGATCCAAAAGGGCCATACAGACTGATTTATGCCTTAAATATCTTGCACCTCTAACTTAGCCATCCATGCCATTCTTAGCCAGCCTTATAACTCAGCCATTACCACAAAATACATGGTAAAAGCCATTTCCAAAGATATTTATCACATATGTACAGTAGGGCACAAACATGTCATTTAACTTCTACATGCACTATAAAAGAAAGAAAGAAAGGCATTTAATTGCTCAATTAAAATAGAATTTCACTCTTTTTATTCAGAATTATTTATATTTTTCATTGCCCCTGCCGATGTTTTTTACTTTGTCATTTGTTCATGGTTAAACGGCTGTTCGGTTTCATAAAGAATTTTGCTTTATTAACTTAAAATTGTCATTTTTATGTTTGTCAGAAACTTATTTAGGGCCACTTACTGCTTTCCAGCAATCCAAAATGAAAACAGAGAATGTTGTGCATTAAATATCTTGCACATCTAACTTAGCCATTCCCATTCATGTTTTAACTCTTTGCAAATAATAATAATAATAATACATTTTATTTATAAGAATTCAACAATGCAACCTTTCGTATTTAATGGCTTAAAATTAAAAATTATTTTCCTATTTTAATTCGTAATTATTTTATTTTTAATTCCCCATATGATCTTTGATCTGATTTAATCTTTTGATTTTTTTTTTGTTTTTTTGTTTATTTACTGGAGTAACTTAAAATACTGGGTGACTTAAAATAATATATATTAATATGTTATTATTAAAGGGATAGTTCACTTTGAAATTATTTTTTGATATGTTTTAGCTTACCTCAAGGGCATCCAAGATGTAGGTGTCTTTGTTTCCACAGTATTTTCAATTTTGATATTTTTAGGTCAAACGTTGTTGTCTGTCAGTCATACAATGGAGGTTTAGGGGGTCCACCTCAAAGAGCATGCACAGAGAAGTCCAAATTAAACATGATTTAATGACTCGTAAATGTAAGTACACATTGAAGGCCTAAGACATGAAACGAGCGGTTTGTGTGAGAAAACGAACAGTATTTATATCGTTTTTACCTCTTGTAACCACAGCCATGTCCCATGAAAGTAATTTCTACTATAATACTAATGTTATAATTAAAAACTAAAATATAGAAAAAATATGTTATTAAATATATATTTATATATACAATTTTTTTTATAAAATCAAGAAGACACCCCCCCCCCCCCCCCTTTCAGTAATTATTAGGGGCCAAGTACTGAAGTATTGTATCCGTCGGCGTTCTTCTTATTATTCCATTTCTTCTTCCGCTCTTGAGTCTATGGCAGCCCATAGAACTGTTTGCAGGCACGTTATGAAAATTGGCACACTCATAGAGCAAATTTGGAGTCTCTAATTCGCCCTCTAGCGCCACCAACTGTCCAAAGCAGCACTCAACGTTTATTTTCACTTCAATTTTCTCATATTGGCCATTTTGAATTTTGTAGTAAAATGCTTAAATTTAACAAACGTATTGGCACATCGTTACGAAACTATGTATGTGTCTTTGCCACCATGCCCTGACAGTAGCCTACTAAAAAAAAAAAAAAAAAAGGTTTCGGAGCAGTGCCACCTTGTGGTCAAAAGTTTTCTAATATCTTTTCTTTAAATTAGCATATTTTAATGCTACAAAATTGTCGCACAATTGGGTTACCATCCAGTCAAAAAGGTTGCGAACCACTGGGATATACAGTTAGCAGATTTTCTACATTTTAAAGGGGAGAAAAAAAGTCTCATAATTTGCAGAATATTCATTTATTTTGTTTAAAAAATGAAAGTGCTTTTTTTTAAACTATAGTAAAAATTGTATTTCCATGTATCCAACGTATTTTATATAAATATATTGTTGCTACAATGTCCTATTCTGCCAAATGCAAGAAGCGTTGTATCTTCTCTCTCAAACACTTTCCACTTCCCAGGCCATCCACTCTTCGCTTTTGCTCGCAAGGAACAATTGACTTCTTTGGCGTCACAGGAAGTACATGGTCCCGCCTCCGCCCAGACGCTAATATCATGTAACCGATTTCAGAGGTTGGTGTGTGTTGTCAGGGTTTTAATGCCCACGCAGTGGAAGTGTCCCGCTGCGGGTTAGAGCGCCAGTGCTAATCCCAGGGGATACCTTTGCTTCGGCAATGAGGGCTGATGGGTAAATCTCATGAGGTCAGAGCCGCTTACGTAAGAGCTGCTCCACTCTGGATGGACACTAAATCATCTGTAGTGAAACTACAATGTGTTATGTAAGACAATTTCATGTTTGGTATTATAATCTCTATCAGCAGGCCTAGAGCAAGGACTGATCTGTGACTGAGGGCTTTTCCTCTTGTGCTTGTGTATTGTTAAGGCACACAATTGAGGTTGAAGTGAAAGTTGAAACTCTCCTAGTGTGAACATATTCGAATCTAGGAAAGACTCTTTCCTCGCAGCATTTGAAACAGCGCTGCTGTCAAACCGAGTGTTTTTTAAATCTATCAGCCATAGTGGTTATTATCAGTCACAACTAGTCAGCACAGCGACTCCAGTGAACATACCAATCAGAAGCTGTCATAGAGGATTAGATTGCTTTGAGACTTAAGCTGTCGCTCCACATTAAGAAAAGGCTTTATGGGCTCTATACAAGGTCTTCATTGATTGGTTGAAAAGAGAGCAGTCTTCTTGTAACTCGTGCTGTCAGACATGAAGTTCACGCCAGGCTCATGTCAAGTTATCCAGATACTTCCGCTGCCGTTCTTCCAAGTACACAAACACTGTTGATGAATTTTCAATGTATAGTTAAGCTTCTTAGTTGTTGTTTTTTTGCGAATTGCTTATTAATGTGTAATATTATGAGTGAAGCACATTCACTTTGGAAAATGAAACTCATTAGTAGGCCTTATGCTTTGATAATGAACATTAGGAAGTCGTTAAAACATATAGATTGGATTAATACTGTATTAATAAAGGTCTTTGAATGTTCACTAACTTATGCTTTTACTATCAGCATATATAACTCAATAAGTGATGTCTGGCCTAGGAAAATTGACATCTTCAATAGAAAATATTTTCCTCTTAATCAAACTTGATAGAAACACTATAGATAGATAGCATCGAGTTGATTTCAATTTCTGATGTCAAATGAAAGTCAGTGAGGGTGTATGTGGTTCAAGAGATGATTTAAAGTCCAGAGGAACTCTCTTCAGTTTTAACCTCTCTTAAAAGTAATCTTTGTTGTTGCATAACTATTGGCCCTGATCAACACCCCAGATTCTGTGACGAGTGAGGACAGCCCAGCATCCAGCCTGCATTTCTTTGACATTGCCATTTCCCGGATGGAATGAAAAAGTTGGAGGAACAGCAGATCTGACTTGTGAGTTTACCTCCTGCTGACACATGAATATGCAGCCCGAATATTATTATTAACAATTCAGAAGTGCCTCATTAAAGATAACCTATAATTTAGACTCAGCATCCAGCAAATCTAAGAACCATTTCAATTTTTCTGAAACCGAGGCAAACATTTAATTTAATGATAAATTAACAATTTAACAATTTAATCTTTTTTTCCTTTTTTTGAGTGACCCATTTTCAAATATCATGTGCCACAATTTGTTTGCAACCCATGCAGCAAAAGGGAAATTAAGGTTTTGCTGAAAAAAAAAGAGTTTAATATGCCTACGTAAATAAATAATTTAAAAATGAGATTATAAATGATTTAAAAACTTTTCAATTATATTTGTATGTGCCCTTGTATTGGCAATGGTAACAACCGTCCTTATTTTCTCTTGTATTGACAGAGATTGCATGTGATTTACGCCTTAGGGTAAGGGTTGATGACAACAGATGTTTTTGTTTTTGTTCTTTGCAGTTATGTAGCATGTCACATGTTTCTCGAGTTTAGATTAAATGTCAGATCAGTAATCATACATGACAAAAAACAAGCACATGTGAGCTTTTCTTTAGTTAATCGTTACAAACTGCACATCCATATAAAAAAATTGCTTAGAAATGTAACTTTTGGTACTGAGCAATTTTTTGGTACTGAGCAATTTTTTTTTTCATTATGTTTATCACCTTGGAAAACGATTTCTAAGGTCTGAAGATCATTCATAAAGCTGAAACATGAAACATTGCGCATGTTTGAGTGTATAGAGAGGCACTGCATTGAAGTCACTAATAACTAATAACTTTGTAAAGGCTTTAATTTTGAAGTCTGCTAAAGCTCACATAAAAAAACTTATGTCCAGAATTGTAAACCTAAAAGGTTCTCAGGGAAATAAAACAGGGTCAGCATACAAAAAGTTGAGGTCCTAATACATATTTTATTAATACTGCTCATTTCAAACTCCAAAAATGTCATATAAATCTACATTCCTTCATTACGCTCATGTGAATTTAATTATAATAAATATAGAATTTCTAAAATTCTTTGCATAGGCTTTAAAGTAGCTACTTTTAAACTGTCTGGTTGCTACACTTGAGTTGGAAATGCTCATGAATTAATAATTATCCCATAGTATTCATTAACGGTTATATAACTACTGGTTTATCTTTCTTCTTTGTTGGATTATGGAAATGCAATCATTTTCCACATATTCAACATCTATTATCGCTTCAAAATCTGATTTGTAATTAAAATCATCTTTGAGGCTAGGACCTTTTATGTTATGAGAGAAATCATAGCAAAATGAATATCACAATAATTTACACTGCTCCCTAGAATACTTAATTTTGATTGGCGAGCCCTGATGTTACTTATCCAAAGATACTGAATTTGGAGCTATGATATACAAAATTATTTCCATGATTTATCACAACTTTTTTTTCTTTTGTCAAATCAACTCAGATATTGTGGTTCAGATAACATAATGTTTTGAATTTCTGTTGATTAAACCAATCTCATTAATTGTATGAACTCAATATTTTAAGTCAACCATGTAACTTTCTTTTTTAAGTTAAACCAACAATATTTTTTTACAGTGTGTAGTTGTATCTTTAAGAAATCATAGCGAAATGAATATTACAATTCAAAAGTAACATGGCTTCATTTAGTTTTTTTCAAACGTGATTCTGATTGGCCAATTTTGTACAGTAGTTTCTAGTTTCTTATCTCTTGGCACCTACTTTATGGTGTTCTTTCTCACATAATAAATGATTCCAACTTACATCAATATTTAATGATATTTATTTGCTTTGAAGCATTTAATAAGCGGGACAACACCTCGCTGTACGTAATCTCTATGTTATGATTTAAAGATTAACAGTCTGTATTTCATTACTGCACATACGTTTTGAGTAATTCTTTCATCATAGAGTAGCTCCGGTGAAATGTGTATCTCAGCGTGAGATTGTTTGCTCGAGTCTTTCATTAGATCAGTCATTAGATCAGTGCTGAACAAAATACAGTGGAAAAAGACACAACTTCTTGTCACTGTCCCTTTATTGTCTAAATTTGTAAGAGCAATACATGCAACATTAGTCCACAATTTGATGTTCTAGCAGTGTGAACTGGGAGAATGATTCCAGCACCCATCATAGGGAGGATATGAGCAAATTTAAGGCAAAAGAGGCCCTACGGTGCTTTGCTCCGCACTTCAAAAGAAGTCGCCTGTCTGCATGAGCGGTAACCTCCAATCAGAGTCACTCAGATTGACGATCTTTGTCACTTGGCTTTTAGCACAGAGCCAATGTGGCAGCGATCATTTGGACACAGTTAAGGCTGGCTATCATGAGTCTGACATGGCGCGTTAGTAAAGCCTCCTACAAGCCATCAAAAAAAAAAAAAGGTCCAAGGATATAGCTTTGTTTATATTTCCAATTGAATTTCTCCATTTTGATTTGCAAACACTGCAACACAAAAGCACTGGCTGTGCAGGGGACAGATTTATCCCTTTAATATGAGAGGCCTGACAAAGTTTTACGTAACGGATCCTTTAGTGACACACTGGCGTTGCTCCAGCTCAGTGGCAGGCATCAAGTGGATACGGAGCTAGGGCGTGGCAGCGCTGAATTGCTGTGAAATCCCAGATAAGCTGAGTTTCAGTGGCAGTAGAGCCAGAGCTGAGTGAGTGGGAGGACAAATGCATGAAAAAAAGAGCCTAACCATCTGCTGCTGTGACAGTGACAGAAAGGCAGACCTTCAGGCAAGCCCCTGGATGGAGACAACCATACCCCCAACCCCCCCAACCCCAATCTTCTTGTGCAATCTTCTTGAGATTTAAAAACAATTCAATTGCATTAGAAAGCAAAATGACCTTTTGCGCAGAAATAGCTTTACTGTTTTGGAATAACTTTGAAAGCAACTGGTGCCGGTAATTTTTTTTTTATAACAGTTCTCCTCACAGTACAATTTTTTTTCAAAATTCGAGCTTAACTAAAGTCTTTTTGTTAAAGGTTTTACTTGAGCTATGTTTCAAAGACATTTGCTTTTGATGTTTAATGAAATCAGATATTTGGGTAACAAATATCGGGTTGGGTAACGGGTTGTCCCGCCTTCAAGCCAGTAACAAGATGGAGGGGACGCTATTTTGATTGAAGTTTATGTTCATAGAGAAGTCCAAATTAAACATGATTTAATGACTCGTAAATGTAAGTACACATTGATGGTCTAAGACACTAAACAAGCGGTTTGTGTGAGAAAACGAATAGTATTTATATAGTTTTTACCTCTTGTAACCACAGCCACGTCTAAGTGATCTGATGGCGCGGGCGCTTCTCTCACGTGTGTATATCACAAAACATGAAACATTTTACGTCATGAAAAAATGTCATCATTGTCTGTTGATATATCGAAATCGTCTTCCATTGCGATTTCCTGTATATCTAAATATGTTTAGTATCTTCACAGTGAAAGGTAACACTTCCGAAATCACAATGAGTGACGTACACGCGTGAGAGTGGCTGTGGTTACAAGAGGTAAAATCGATATAAATACTGTTCGTTTTCTTACTCAAACCGCTCGTTTCGTGTCTTAGGCCATCAATGTGTACTTACATTTACGAGTCATTAAATCATGTTTAATTTGGACTACTCTGTGCATGCTCTTTGAGGTGGACCCCATATACCTCCATTATATGACTGACAGACAACAACGGTTCGACCGAAAAATATCAAAATTGAAAATACTGTGTAAAAAAAAGACACCAACATCTTGGATGCCCTTGACGTAGGCTAAGCTAAAACATATCAAAAATTAATTTCAAAGTGAACTATACCTTTAATGCCTAACACAAAGTAATGGCACTGTATTGTAAAGTTTTACCGATATGTGTAATTGCATAACTCATTTATGTGTTCATATTATGCATGTCTCCCAAAATGATTCACAGTTGTGATACAAAGTTGTCATTCCTAAACTGCATCATTACCATTCAATCCATTCATCCATTTGCTCAGAGGACGTAAATTGTCTTGTTGAAAATTAACAAAAGAAAATCCAGCAGTGTTACCATGGGGTGCCAGTCGTGGCAAACTGCCTTCTATCTGATGTTCTCTCAACAGGAAAGAAATTACAAATGGAAAGAAACAGTGGGGAAAGGCATTGGCTACTATTTTTTGTATTCTTTTTCAATCTCTGGGTTGCTTCAATCAGAGTTTATTATGTCACTAAATAAATTATGCATTATGATCCTTGTAAGACAAAGAAGTACAATTCATGTGGTTAAAGCCTATAATCTTTATGAAATAAAAATACATTTTTTTTTATTTTTCTTTTCTTTTTTTACAATTTGCTAACAATTTGCTAAGGAATACAATTACATCAATTTGGGCCTTTTTTCTTTTTTACAAACAGCAGCTTCAACGTTCGTGTTTGAGGTAAACTGCGTGTAATTTGTGTAGGCCTAGCTAACTAACCACATATTTTATTCTACACAGAAATAAAAAACGGCCATAATAAAGGCAAATTGACCTTAAATTAGGCTTTAAAAACGTCATTAGTGAGCGCCTTAACTTTGCGAAAGTCGCGTTCCAACAAGGCACCAAGTAGGCCTGTTGATTGTTTTATAGACCTCTAGGTTAGCAGCTTGCTAAAGATACCTGTAGTTGCTGAATTATGTAATACACAGTATTTTAAACAGAAATCCATTAGCCATGGAATAGGAAGTGAATCAAATGTATAAAAATTCTAGAACTACTGCAATGCATTGATCACACAAGCCATAGAGAATCATGTGGAATTGCGTCAAACGCTTTAGAAGGGTGTTATGGCATTCAGTGGATCCATTTTACTCGTGCTTTAGATTTGAAAGCTTGCATAGTTTCCGCTGCAGAGCGTTTTTCTGGTCATATGTGCCTGTCTAATCTGTCTATTCCTTCAACCCTACAGACAACTGTGGGAAGCGCGCGCGTATGCCCACCGCTGATGCCATGTGGTCAAAGCAGCTGTGCGGCTGATAACCAATGACAGGCAGCAGAGACGCCGCGCGGAGCTGAAGGATGCGTCGCGTCGCGTCGCGCCCCGCTGATATTTAAACCATTCTCACATCGCGTATGCCAGAGATGCGAGCTGCAGCGATTTCTGCGCTAAGAACGGAAAGATGCTGCCTTCGTGGATTCATGGATTAAGCTGGATTTCAGGACACACCTGTAGATTTTTCACCTAGTTTTCTGCATAATGCCTTATCTGAGACAGTTCCTAGTTTTAGCGCTCTTCCTGGGCTCGTTTGGGGAGTGCCGGAATAAACACGCAACGAGAGAGAGAAGGTGGACCGGAGCTGTGGACACCCAGAAGCATGGGACGTAAGTGGGAATTCAACATTTGACAGCTAAACTTGTGTCGACATCTCGTGCTACTGCTGCTGCTGCTGATGATGATGATGTGGACTAGCCTACTACACATTGCTGGGCTCACTGTTCGTGATGAAAAAGTTGCTGATGATGATTGTTGTGGTAGTGGTGGAGATGATGATCCTGATGATGATAATGGATGTTGCAAGAATCATTGAAGATGATTGATGAATGTCAACAATTAGGCTACACAAAACATCTTTGTTTCCTTCTATGTAACTTAAACATCTATTTCTACTGATTTAAGCTTCATTGGCATTTAAAGTAGTAGAAAAAAACTTGCAGAAATTAAACTTCAGGTTTTTTATACCTGATACCATATACCAAATTCTATAAATTAACCCCAAAATGCATGTGTGGGTGTCAATTTGTATTTTGTACTATACTTTTCAGTGACATTTTCATCTGAAAACCCAGGAATGTCTCAATTAAGTTGTCATGCAATCTAAATTATAATGAAAATTATTTCTTTTGTTAACAAAAACAAGTTGTTATAGGTTACAGATAATGACCTGTGCATTTTGATGAACATTATAGTTGAAAAGCATTTTGCTTTTGCAAAAAGCTTTGCATTTTAGGTTAAATGAAAACTTTATGTATTTTAATTTTTTTAAATTTATGTATTTTAACTTTATGTATTTTTAATATTTATTTTAAACATTAAAACTATCCAGACTTTCCAACTTTTTTCTAAAGAAAAACACTTCTGTTAATCGACCAAGTGGGCACAGTTAGCTGATGCTGGTACTCTCCAAATAGTCAAATATCATATGTCAGATATGTATCATTAGTCATTACAACCATTTGATGATCATTTTTTTCTGATTTATGTTACCAGAGATGATAGTGTTGCACATAAGAACTGAGGTGATGTTGTGACCTCATCCATTGATGTATTTCGCAGACTTTTTTTTCCCCACCACCTTTATTAGCCTGATTTCTATACGACAGCAGAGTGCCATAAATGAGGCCAGGGGCAGGGGTGTAATTAACATGACCCAGACAGATGATGCCGGCACTGAACCGAAACACGTATCACTGGTGTGTTCCTGTAGATATGTTCGGACTGGTGCTTCTTACTCGGACCAACAGCCACGTGTCACAGGCACGTTTTGCCCATCTGCCAAGGACAGTGTGTTGGCACAAAGCTGTCCTGACAAGCTGACATGGGTACAGCCTCATGGGTCTGTGAAATTAAAACAAACAAGAAATCTTCAGAATTAGCATGTTTTTAGATTGTAAAAGCCTTCAAATTTGCACAAGTAAATCCAGCTGTATCACTGCACACAGGGTGCCAGTCACGGAAAGCTGCCTTCTGTCTCATATTCGCAACAGGAAATAAATTACAAATGGCAAGTGGATGTGGAGAATGAGGCAGTTTACTACTCACTGAGTCACTGTCAGTGATTATTAGCTACATAAAGAGTTAATTATGCTCATTGCTTGACTGGAACAAGCACAGTTCATGAAATCCAGGGTTTGGGGCTCTTCTGAGCGTCTGTCGATAAGATCTCCTGTAATTTGAAAAAGATCCGGCTGCAGCAGCAAGTTGGCCACTGTCGTAACAGTTTGTTGATACAAGCGCTGTGGATGATCTTAATCCGTCATTACACTTTTGCGGCTTCATTTTCACAGAAATTATGTAAATGTCATTGACTTTGAAGGTTCAGGCTGAATTTTTAATTTAACCTCTGCTCGTTTCCACATAATAATAGCACACATTGTCCAAATCCATGATATGAGAGGCTGATCTGAGTGTTTGTGTGACTTTGAAACCCGCAGCTCCCTGGCTAAGAAGCCGCCAGATGTGACAAAATCACGGCGACTGAAAACAGAGCAGTTGTTGAAAGTGGACGATCATGATTTCACCATGAGGCCCGCATTTGCAGGTTAGTTCATCATTCCCCCTTGTTGCAAATGTGAACTGAATTCCCTTAAATTTAAATGCCACAACTTCCATTAGGAGTCTATTTTAAAAACAAATCTTCAAAGACATGTAAAGTATTCGTAATGTAAAAGGTTTAGTGTCAACATCCTCCATGAGCAACTGAAGATTAGTCAAAAATAAGACAACCGTACTCGGAGCATGAGACTAAGACAGTTGTGGTAAAGGTTTATTATAAATTCCATACTCAATTGTTCACCTAAAAGCCACTCAAATATTTTTAGTTGCATTGTTTTAATATTATGTACAGATTGCACATATGCTATTTACTATGCACAGTTGGAGGACATTCAGGTCAGTTATTTGACCAACAGGCATGCAATCGACATTGGCTCCCTCTAGAGGGGTAAACAACTTCCCCATCAAGCCCTGTTGTAGAAAGACTGGGATTTCAGTTTAAAACTGGATTTTTTTGTAATGTGCTTTAGGCAGATGAATTTAGACTATTATTATTTGATATCAAGCCATTACCTGCATAAAAAATCTCCAAAAATCACTGTAACAATTAATACACTTTATCTAATCAATAAAATTGTGGCAACAGATTACAAGCAATATTATTAATTAAATTTAACAAATTAGAATTGAGTAATAATTAATCAAATGAATTCCTTAAAAGTTAACCATTTAAAATGAGTAAAGTTTACACCCCAAAATTTAACAAAAATATCTAAATAACAGACAGACGTCAAAGATTATTTAAGAACTATTATATTGCCAACATTGAAGACACCAGATGTCAACAAGCAGAATCACTGAAGGAGAAAATCGTAATTTTAAAACATTCCTAAAACAAACACCGATCACCATAATGGTGACTTAAATGTATGTTTTTGTTTGTTGTTGTTGTAAGTTTTACTCATTTTAAATGGTTAACTTTTAAGGAATTAATTTGATTAATTATTACTCAATTCTAATTTGTTAAATTTAATTAATCATATTGCTTGTAATCTGTTGCCACATTATTTTATTAGATAAAGCGTATTCATTTTTACAGTGCTGTCTAGCTGATGTAACAAAAAAGTTGATGGAGAAATGGATTCTGCATTATTTCTAGGTAATTATAATCAAATAAGTACATTTGTGTCATTGATCATGTGACTCTTTGTATAGACAGTCAAATGTTTTTGCTTCCATTCAACCAAAAGATGCTCTATGGAAGAAATAAATGCTTCATGCTTATGCTTAATTCATTCAAAATGTTCAGGTAAAAATTTGCTACGGTGATATAATTGGTCCGTTTTTGTATTATTTCATGTCAAAGCCTAACTTCGCCAATTTTCAATCTGTTTTTTTATCGCTACAATGTCATAAGCAATGTTTAGTTTTTCACTGTATGCCTGGACCGAGAAATTCAGGTTTATTTGTCAGCGTTTCATGTCATCCGGCGGTCTTCAGATTGTACTTCCTCATTCTTGTATCCCCGCCCAAAAACAGAAAGGAAATAAAGACATCATCAAAGTAGTCCATATGACATCAGTGGGTTAGTTAGAATGTTTTGAAGCACTGAAAATACATTTTGGTTCAAAAATAACAAAAACTACGACTTTATTAAACATTGCATTCTCTTCCGGTTCTGCGTTCACGAGTCCACAGTGACGCTGGTGATGTAAGACTCTGCTGTCAGCAGCGTCTTACGTCAGCCGCGTCACTGTGGACAAAACCGGGAGACAATACAATGTTTAATAAAGTCGTAGTTTTTGTTATTTTTGGACCAAAACGTATTTTTAGTGCTTCAAAACATTCAAACTAACCCACTGATGTCACATGGACTTCTTTGATGATGTCTTTATTTCCTTTCTGGACAAGGACAGTATATCGTACACATTTTCAATGGAGGGACAGAAAACTCTGACTAAATCTAAAATATATTAAACTGTGTTCGGAGGTCTTACGGGCTTGGAACGACATAAGGGTGAGTCATTAATGACATCATTTTAATTTTTGAGTGAACTAACCCTTTAAAGGGGGGTTGGCACTGCTGGCAAAATACAGTTTTACTGTATTTACTTTGTACTTTTTTAATGAGATTATCACTGTCACTTTTAGGAGCGTTAACAATCAATCAAATCACATAGAAACAGCTGGATGTGTATGCAAATTGATCCTCTGAGAAGATGATTTTTTTCAATATTAATAGTTTACCCAAAAATTGACATTAATTGTTCACTCATTTTGGGAGTGAATAACCCATACACTGGGTATATTGGGTGGGTACCCATATAATATATGCTCAGTCCCATTAACCATATATTGTACTGTGAAATTTTCAGGGAATTTCATTGATCAACAACAAAAAGCACCATAAATGTATTATAAAAGTAGTCCATGTAACTTTAACAACAAGTTTATATAATCTTTAGGCATGTGATACTGTATAAACACGACAAGATTCAAAAATGGCATGTCACCGTCATGGTAAGCAAAGCACCATTGTTTGTGTGTGTGTGAGACCGTTCTCATCCCAAGGCGTCATATACGACGGTTTTGCCAAAGTGTAGACATCCAACGCACATGGCACCCTTTAGCATCAAATGAGACGCAGATATATATGGGGCAGAAGGCGCCTCCTAGTGGTCTAAACCTAAACCTACCCCAGACCTAAACCTACCATAACCGAATTGTCTCATTTGACGCTAAAGGGTGCCATGTGTGTTGGATGTCTACGCTTTGGCGTAGTGTCGTATATGACGTCTTGGGATGAGAATGCGTTGGTGTGTGTGTGTGTGTAAACAAACCTTGCATTTTTTGATAGGCAAGAATGTAAGATTATTAGGGAATAATTACTTCATATGGCTTCAAAAGACTTTTATGGTTTTAATTTTTGGTGACTTATTTTTCATTGGCAGTCATGGCCACTATGAATTGTCACTAAAATGGTGTAAGATAAAAAAAAAATCCCCTTTTGTGATCCATGGACAAAAATAACAGCATAGGGGTTTTGAATGACAGGAGGGCGAGAAAATTCATGTCAGAATTTTCATTTCTGTATGATCTATTCCTTTAATGCTGACTCCTCTAGTCTACCATGGTTCGAATGGTATTAAAGGATGATGTAAGGGGGGAGCTCAAGGCTTCTCTTTGTACAACACTTAAAAGTTTGAGCAGTAAAGGCTAAGAACTAATGAAAGTTCTCCTGCCAGTCCATACAGCTCCCCCCTATTCTTTTTTAATGATGCGTTCCTATATAGGGCAAAGAAAAAGAAACACTCCAGTGTTTGATGCTGTTCCTCCTATGAATAGAGTATCTAAAAAGTCACTCATTTGGATGCTCAGACTCGGTGTACGTTTGGGAATTGCTCTTTGTTCAGCAGGGGGTCACAGCAAAGGGAATGAAAATAGCCCAAGCATATTCACCCCCTCAGACGCATACACAGATCTGTCATTCTGTCAGTGATTCATTGTTGCATCTGATTGACGGTGAAAATCTCGCTGCTAGTTCAAAACATGATGTAATGAGTTCTCAACTGTCATCCATTGTCATTGATTCATAGTAGTATAGATTTTATTATACTATGAATGGGTTAAGTGCGTTTTCATATGATGTTTTCCAAAACACTAAATAGTCCAAAAAAGGAAGCTTTTTTTAAATGTACTGAACAGATTTTTTTACGTTATTCATTTTTAAAGTATATATATTTCTAAAAAGATTTAAAATCTACAATTGTGGGAAGAGCTTACAGACAAAAGACTTGTATAAAATTAGATTTTTGTCTGTTTTAAGTTTAGTTGGTGATTAATATTTTTTAGCCAAATATGTGAAAGGATAGTGTCAAAAACGTCCTTCAACAAGATGCTAAAAGCCACTCATGAAAAGCCGAAATGCAAGAAATGACACTGGGATGGCACATTTTTTGGAAGGAAATTGGAAGGAAATAGGGAATAATTTGTTGCAACGGATGTTCAAAGCGGGCGCCATTTGACTGCATTTGCGAAAAATGCCTGTACTAAATGCATTAGACTGCATTAAAACCAAAAAAATTAGAAAGAAGGTCATCTTAAAATACTTAAGTGGTTGTGAAATGCTAAGTTACTAAATAAACAGGTTGGTTAAGAACAAGGGGTTATTTTTGCATTTAGCATTTTAAACTGCTTTTTAGCATGCTTTTCACCGTCGAATTGCAGTATTCCACCTAAGCAATGATTAGTAAAAGGTAGCGCGAGTATAATGTGCTGTGTATACTGCATAAATGAGATTTACTTCAGAAGCGAAAGAGAATTGCTAATGCATGACTGCAATAGTTTAAATCCAGAGACGGCTAACTGATGGTGCATAAAGCTTATGCCTAATCCTCCACAAGGGGAGTATCTATTGATGTACACAAAAACATATAGCACTCACTGTGTGTTTATGTGTCATTATAGGGCAGTATGTATTTCTTGATGTGAAGGATTACACATGTTAAGGATTTGTCTCATGTCATATGATGCTAGCATCCCTGTTTACTTTTCTGCAGATATGTGCAATTCTGCTTTCAATACTAATATTCTGGCCTGCTGGGCCAGCAGCATCCGAAAATCAGATACAAACCAAAATGAAAGATCAAAAGATATCAAGTAACCTCTCCATGCCAGGATGCCACGTCTCGTTATTCTCGTTATTAACTCTAAAATTCGACAAAAGGTTCAGTTAGTCTTACAAGCTGCATGCAAAACTGAGGACGATTGTAATCGCATTACATTTTGTTGCCCCACTCTCTTTTCTCACTTTATCTTTTTTTTTTTTATTCGCCCGTTAAAGACATAAGCGATCCTCGCTGATGGTTTCGTCCATCTGGAGGATCGCTCGATCTGCTGTGGACTGAGGCGCTCTGGTGCTAAAGACGAGATTAATCTGGCAGCGGTTTGTACTGACCGGACCAATCCCCATGGATTAGCACATGCAACAATCCCAGCCTGTCCTGCCACGCAGACAGCTGGTTTAAAGACCGCCCACTCGCCAAACATCAACCAGCGATCACCAGCTCAGCGGCGTGGCCTCAGGAACTTTGAAAGAAAAGCACTGTTATTAAAATCATCCTATGGGAAAGGGGTGATTTCATCTTTTTTGTAAAGGAGTAGGTCATAATCATTATGTCCTTTCAACTCACTTGGAATACAAAATAATGCATTTTTTAATTAATTACAAGAGGATAAAAATCATATGGGTTTGGAACAACATGAAAGTGTGCAAATAATAATAATAAAAGAACATTTTTGGTGTTGTTGTCTGTTTTTGATCAACTATCCCTTAATGAAATTTTGTTGTAATCATTATGTTGCTCCAAATCAGTGTGATTTTCTTTCTTCTGTGGAACACAAAAGGAGAAATATTTATGAATTTTAAGAGGATAGAATGGCAAATGGGTTTTCAATAAGACAAGAGTGTGTGAACAATTGCACAAAATAGTGTTTTTTGGATGAACTATTAACGAACATTTTTGTTCTAATCATTATGTCGCTACAAATACATGTGCCTGCCTTTCTTCTGTGGAAGAAAGTAACTTTTAGAAAGTTATTTGGGTTTGAAACAACATAAGAGTGTGTAAACAATGACAAAAATTATTATTATTGTTAACGGTTAGTTCACTTAAAAATGAAAATTCTGTCAGTAATTACTCACCCTCATGTTGTTCCAACCGAATTTCGTTCATCTTCGGAACACGAATTAAGATATTTTTGACGAAATCTGAAAGCTGGCTCACTCCTTCATAGGTAATTGAAATCTGCCAGCCTGGAAAAGTTAGTAAAGACATCGTTAAAATAGTCCAAGTGACTACAGTGGCTTAACCTTAAAGGGTTAGTTCACCCAAAAATGAAAATTAAGTCATTAATTACTCACCCCCATGCTGTACCAACCCCGTAAGACCTTCGTTCAAGCGACGCGAATACTTTTTGTGCGAAAAAACAAACAAAAATAACGAGTTTATTCGACTATTTCTTTTCTTCCTTGTAGGCCAGAACGAGACTTCCTTAGATTTCCACGACGCATGCGCGAGAATTGCGATCTGAAGTAGTGTAAGCTGGTGTGAGCAGATCGCAAATCTCGCGCATGCGTCGTGGAAATCTAAGGAAGTCTCGTTCTGGCCTACAAGGAAGAAAAGAAATAGTCGAATAAACTCGTTATTTTTGTTTGTTTTTTCGCACAAAAAGTATTCGCGTCGCTTGAACGAAGGTCTTACGGGGTTGGTACAGCATGGGGGTGAGTAATTAATGACTTAATTTTCATTTTTGGGTGAACTAACCCTTTAAGTTTATCAAGCGACGAGAATACGTTTTGCGCACACACAAAAAAAAAGCCCAAAGTAACGACTTTATTGAAGTCACTTCTGTGTTGTACATCAGAACGTAGGCTCACTATTTGCCAGCATCACACATGATTAGCGTCAGCTAAAAGTGAGCCTATGTTCTGTCTTTACTACCTTTTCCGGGCTTGTAGATATCAATTACCTAGCAGCCTAGGAAGGAGTGAGCCAGCTTTCAGATTTCATCTAATCTTTCAGCTTTCAGATTTCATCTAACTATCTTAATTTGTGTTCTGAAGATGAACAAAAGTCTTATGGGGTTGGAACAACATGAGGGTGAGTCATTACTTACAGAGTTTTCATTTTTTTTTGAGTGAACTATCTCTTTAATTAAAATTGCATCGCTCAAGATTAGTTTGACTTTGTTTTTTCTGTGGAACACAAAATTAGATATATTTATGAATTTTAAAAGGACAGAAAGGCAAATGGGTTTTAATAAACACGAGAATGTAAAAAATAAGAGTTTTTTTTTTTTTTTTTTAGATGAACTAACACTTTATTAATATCCAATTTATATAATGTTATTTGTATTTGTTTTTCATTGAACAAGCACAAATAACCACCTCCAAGTGGTAACTAAAACTGAGAAATGGGACACTCAAGGTCATTCTAATGGTTTCAGACTGAAACTGACAGCAGGGTGTTGATTACATTGGACAAATCGATTTTACCTAGGAGCTGTGTCCTTATTTAGGCTTATTTGTGTGAAATGAAAAGCCTTGATGGTATATCACAGGAAAATTGACAGGATGGAGTCCATCGGGTATTGCATAAGCATATTTGTCAAAATTTATCTCCACAGTTGGGCGTTACTTATCTACAGGGCTCAAATGCATTTTATGCAGCATATATTAAGTAATGCTCATGCTTTTCATGAAGATTTTTTTTATAAGCGACACATTAAGTCACACATAATGGCAAGTTTCAGTCAGTGTCAGTATCATTTTGAGCATCCAAGTTTAATCCACCATTTACCATCTCCAGTAATCTCGTCGGATTACTATGTCTAGGAGTGAAACACACTGAAAAATCTCGTTTGGAATCTGTCTGACGTTTGGGCATCATCCCCGTCCATATGTACTGGCTGCCCCCTGCCCATTTACCTAAATGTCTTACCTTCTGAGTGACAGATAGTCACATTACACTAATCCTGGGAAAGAGCAAGGGTTTATGTTTGCTATAAAAGACCTTACAAGTGCAGCTCCATGTAGGATATGAAAGCTGCAGTTCCGGTTGAAGGCCTGTCCTTTGAGAAAAACCGTTCCTTACAATCCTACAATCCGTCAGACGTCAAAGCATCTGCTAAGCCTTTTGTGAACAGATCTGGTGGAAAGCACACAGATTCAGATCTGGCTGTGAGGACATATTTAATGATGCTCACAGATGTCTTAGCGAACACCCTGCTAATTGCAACTGGTATGAGGCTGTCAGACTCCAGGAAACAATAAGTATTGTGAAAAATTAATGCATGACATATGCAGAGGTCGTAAAGCAGTAGGATGGAAAAAAATTGTGTTGTATATGTTGTATAATTTTTTTTTTTTTTTTTGCAGGTCCTGCAATTCCAGTGGGAGTTGATGTACAAGTGGAAAGCTTGGACAGTATCTCAGAAGTAGACATGGTAGGTAATCCTAAACAGTTGCTTTTTACATGTGCTGTTTTATGTAACATCCTCAACTCTTTGAGTCTACATTCTAGAATATATGAACACATTAGGCGTGTTAAACAACACATTAAACAGTTACATTTTAATTAAGCAAAACAAGAAATATTTTTTTTGGTGAAAAACACTTAAGCACAAGCACATTTTCTCATCAAGTTATTGACATATGTCCAGACGTCTTTTGAGTTCCCTTTCAAAGTGGAACTGTAACTCTACACACTTAGAAGAAAAGGTTCTACATAGAACCTTAAAAGGTTCTATCAGCGCTAAGTATTTGGAACCCCTAAAAGGTTCTATACACTCTTAAAAAAAGGGTTCCTCTGGGTTCTATATAGAACCCTGGGGTTCCGTAATGGCCAATAGAACTTTTTACCAAAAAAATGGTTCTATATAGAACCGTTTTGGAGTTCCATATATGAAACGGGGGATGGAACCATTTCTGGTTCTAAATAGAACCACTTCTTCTAAAGGCGCTTTTCCACTGCATAGTACAGTACGGTTCGGTTCGGTACGTCTCACTTGTGGTGCTTTTCCACTGCATGGTACGGTACAGTACGGTTCGCTTCAGGTCGCTTTAAATGGTACCTGGTCTGTTGAGGTTCCAAGCGTACCGTACCGGTACTAAAATGTGACGTGAAACACTGCAGATCACTGATTGGTCAGACAGAATCGTCACTACCAGCGTCACTACTAGCGTCATTGGATTTGCGACACGAGACACGAGACACTTTTTTAGCAGTATTTTTGTTTTGCTGCCATCAGCCTCATTTTAAACACATTTTTCCGTCTAGCAGTTAAAAACAACCACATACCGAGAATCAGGAACACCATCCCCTCGATAGTCTCCATTGTTCCTGTGTTGTGGGTTTGAAAATGTGGCGCTTTTAAGATGATGTCATGGCAGTAGAGGCGCGCGCAAATAACCATCAGCCCCACACACTTTGAAGAGGTACTACTGCAGTGGAAACGAAAAGCGATCCGAACTGTTCCGCACCGAGTCGAAGTGTACTGAGCCGAACCGTACCGTACTATGCAGTGGAAAAGCGCCATAAGAGTGTATGTCATTGAGTTGACGCTATGGGAACACCCTCACGGTGTCTGAATACGTGTACCAAATATGCCAAATATTGGCTGACGGCAGTCTATGGTGTCACGGGCAGAGCATCCGTGAGTTAAGAGGACACCTGCAAGGACCCATCATCAAATTTTTTGTCTTCAGAAGCTGTTTGTTTGTATGCGTGTATAAGACCAGAATCTGTGGGAGCTAGATGCACTCTTTGTGATGCATTCTCGGTAAGAGCTTTTGTTCCTGCTTGATCCTCTCTCTCTCTCTCTCTCTCTCTCTTGGGGATAGAATCTACCGCTTGCACAGAGCGTGTTCAGCTCTTTAAGGAGTTGGATGCACTCGTAGCGATGCATTTGCAGTAGAAGCTCTGTTCTTGCCCGATTTTCTTATTGTGATGAGAGTTCAGCTTTTGTACGGAGCACATGCTCTTGAGGGAGCTGAATCCATCCAGTTGAGCATCTGCACCTCACGGTCCAGCTCGCATGGCTCCCGAGGCGGTAGAGCGATCATGAGGATTGTAGGCAGAGCTTGGGGAGAAGAAATCAGAGTGTCTGATACTGTAGATCCATTCCTCTCAATCCCATTTGGTGAATTTGGAAGCTTGCTCTTAAAAGAGAGCAAAATGGGGAGTCATGAAAGTCAACCTTGTGGATCAAGCCCAGTGTTGCTGGAATAGAGCAGGAGCTTTTCATCGTGGGGTTGCAGCAGGTGGGTAAAGCCTGCGTCCTCTTCTTTACCATCATGCGGCTTGTGCCAAGGCATATGTGGTGACAAAACAGGCCTGTGAATCCTGGAATCCGCCTAGCAGTGAAAATAAAGAAAACTAAGGATGGTGTTCCTTTCTCACTGATTTTCAGTTGTTCTCCCTCCATATTCTGGAGGTGTTGGCAGTAAACCACTGAGGCATCAGCTTACTGAAAGTGTGGCCGCCGATAAGATGATGCAACCCCTTCACTTTTTAACTGCTCTGCCGAGGAATAACCACTTTTCAGAATACGAGAAGTGGAAGAGTGGCGACACTGAAGGATGTAGCCTGTGATGCTGAAGTTAGTTAGCATTTTGATTGCTCCCTTTTAGGAAAGCTGCTCAAGTTGGGTAGAGCAAGGTGGACAAAAATACGATGAGCACTTACAGTTCTTCCTCTGATTCGTTTACCTCAAGGGCCAATTACTGTGGGTTTTTGGCAACTTGCTGTCTGTGTATGTGCTTTTATTCAAGAGGGGGGGGGGGGGGTAAGCTCCTCTCCTCCAGTTACAGTCGGGTCTTTAAGTAGGGCTTAAGCTTCCCTGCGGTTACCTTGGGGTCTAAAGTCTGGGTAGTATGAAGTACTGGGCCCTAGTGGTTCCTGGAGAGGTTCTTTGCTCAAACAGGGTTATTTGCTCTCGCCTATGTCTTTAGTAGAGCTTAATAAGTATAGTTTAAGGGTTGAGCTGCACTGGCAAGAGTTTCGGCATTTATTCTATGCCACTCTCATATTTACATCCCTTCCGAAATGAGGGTTATATTTTCACCCTTGGAGGTAGTGGTACATCAAATACCATTGTTGATTTACTCCCTTTGATAAATACTCCCTAAGGGCTTTGTTTATTAGAGCTTTTTCTCTTTTGGCCTTTTAGGTTTCTTTGCCGGCCCTGAAATTAAGCTTAGTCAGTGGCCCCACTAAGCAATTTGCACCCTGTGGGTTGACATGCTTTGACTCCAGCAAGGTGATCTCTATAGTCAATCTATGTTATGCCCACTATGGTTTGCATATCCACTGCCTAGCAAGGCAGGCATCCCCTCAGCCTGGCGGGGTGAGTATTGTTTCCCCATCGCGTCGTCTCCATGACACGCATCAAAGTTCCACTTCAAAAGGGAACATCCCTGAGAAGGGGATGAGACGCTGCACCTCGTAACCTTGCATCGGTTTGCCTGAACGTCTCCTTCATACAAAAGTTGAAGAGTTGATGAAATGTCTTGCAGACTCCCTCTCATACTCATGGGCACTCCACTCGTGGCATCATAGACTGCCATCAGCCAATAATATGCCTGTTTGGTACACGTGTTCACACACGAGTCACTCTAAAGGGTGTTCCCCATAGCATCTACTCCATGACGCTGCATCTCATTCCGCTTCTCAGGGATCCAGGGTTACATATGTCACCTAGATGATTTTTTGCTTATATTTATTTACTAAAAAATATATATATATATATTCTATATATCCACCTTATCCTGCGCCTGTTCTATTTCCCATGATTCATTTTGGTTTCAACTGACTAAACGGTTTTCCCTTGAATGCTAGCACTCAAGTCCAGACCACTCATCTATATACAATGATATATTATATAGATCGGTGGTCCAGACATTAGAAAAATATCAGTCTACACATGCGTTTTATATTCACGGACATGACCATTATGAAAGAGACTTTAAAACTTTCACCGAGATTTTAAAACCACAAAGAAACCTTTCTTTAAAGTGAATCATTCGTTTTTTATTAATTGAATCTTAATTTAAATCAATGTTTCATCAACCAATTGACTGGTTTTAATAAATAAGAAGTATAGTAAACAATAGATCATGACTGAGGCGACAGCGCGCACACTGGACTTTGGTCTCATGAATGAAACTCGGCATAACTTCAACCTCACAGGCCTGAGAAATATATAGACTATGCATCTTTGAAAGCAGAGGTAGACAGTAAAGGGCTAACCAGCCTAACCTTATAGTCCTGTTATTCTGCAGCAGTTGGGCTGATAGAAACTGTCGGATGTTCATGCTGGATTAGGGAGATCGTGCAGTCATGCATCAGCTATATCCTTTGGAAGTTATGAAGAAAAGAAAAATGTTCATTTTGTTTTTATCTGTGATTTAATAAAAAATAACGTGATCAGATCATGTTTTTCGTGATGTTTTTTCGATTTAGTTTAGGGATGTGGGGATGACACAATCTAAAACAAATGGCAAAAAAGCATAGACCAGACTAGAACCGGAAGTCACAACCGGAGTCGTCGTCATGGCAGTGCTCATTGTTTAGAGCAGAATAAGGTGGATATATATAAAATAGAGATGCAATGATCCACCGGCCAGGGACTGGTATCGGAAAATTTTCCACATGATCAGCCCGGACCGGTAACCGGACGGTCAGTCTCACATCTTTCTGTTCCCGAGCTGTGTTTAGTTTCAGAGGGGGAGTGGCCACCCAGTGTGCAGTGTGAGAGGGGGAGTGGCCAGTAAGTGTGCAGTGTGAGAGGGGGAGTGGCCAGTCAGTGTGCAGTGTGAGGGGGGAGTGGCCAGTCAGTGTGCAGTGTGAGAGGGGGAGTGGCCACTCAGTGTGCAGTGTGAGAGGGGGAGTGGCCACTCAGTGTGCAGTGTGAGAGAGGGAGTGGCCAGTCAGTGTTTAGTGTGAGAGTGGGAGTGGCCAGTCAGTGTGCAGTGTGAGAGGGGGAGTGGCCAGTCAGTGTGCAGTGTGAGAGGGGGAGTAGCCATTCAGTGTTTAGTATGAGAGGGGGAGTGGCCAATCAGTGTGCAGTGTGAGAGAGGGAGTGGCCAGTCTGTGTGCAGTGTGAGAGGGGGAGTAACCATTCAGTGTGCAGCGTGAGAGGGGGAGTGGCCATTCAGTGTGCAGTGTGAGAGGGGAGTAACCATTCAGTGTGCAGCGTGAGAGGGGGAGTGGCCAGTCAGTGTGCAGTGTGAGAGGGGGAGTAACCATTCAGTGTGCAGCGTGAGAGGGGGAGTAACCATTCAGTGTGCAGCGTGAGAGGGGGAGTGGCCACTCAGTGTGCAGTGTGAGAGGGGGAGTGGCCAGTCTGTGTGCAGTGTGAGAGGGGGAGTAACCATTCAGTGTTTAGTGTGAGAGGGGGAGTGGCCACTCAGTGTGCAGTGTGAGAGGGAGAGTAGCCATTCAGTGTGAGAGGGGGAGTGGCCACTCAGTGTGCAGTGTGAGAGCGGGAGTGGCCAGCAGCTAGAGAGGCTTTTACCAATATATATTTAACAATATCTTTTGCATTTCTAATCCAAACATGTCAAACTTGGCACTGCACTTACTCATGCCCGTAGCAAGACACTTGTCAATTTAAAGTCCGGACTAATGGATCGAGAGATATGCGAATAACCCACACACACACACACACACACAGAGAGAGAGACAGAAAGACATTCCTGTAATTTAAAGATAGAGATAGATGGCTGTTTTGCAGTTACTGTGTCCCACACGGGTTTCTGTGTCTCTGATGGCAGAAACTTTGATCATGAATCTTCTTTTTACTTCTGTTATAACAGAATATGACTCCCATTCTGTCATTCCGTTCTCTTGTTTTGAATTTCCCTCTTAGCAGAATTCTTTGTGTGATGTGACAAAGAAACTTTGTGGTGCTTTTATTGACCATATATAATTACTGGCCGCTTCAATCGTTTATGGTTATAACCAAAAGATAGAATAGAGAAGGGATGATCTGCTTGAGCAATTTAAAGAGACATAGCCGTCATGTGGAGGATCAAGAGGTACATAGTTAGACTACAAAGTGAAACATGTAAGGAGTGTTTATGTAAAATTTGCCATGTACTTGCTCTAGTGAAATACAGTTGTCGTATGTTGCTCCCAAAACTTTGCAATGTGTACAAAGATCATATTCCACCCCAAAATCAAAACGAAGAAATTAGAAACTAGTTGCTTCGAAAATGAAGCCAACTAAGGTTTTTAGCATTGTGACATTAGTTTTTTGACAGTTAATCATATCCCCTTATTTTAATTCTCATTGTTTTATTGCAAATAAAAAACAATTCTTATTAATATGAAAAACAGAAAAACAATGGTATTTTATGTCAGCATTTACTCCTCATGTTGTTGCAAACACAAATGACTTTTGTTGTTCCTTAAATCTCAAAAGGAGATTTTCTGAAGAATGCGGTCACTCTTTTGATTGCAATTACAAGGAATGGAGCTTTCAAGCTTCAAAAGGACACAGCACATCAAAGTGGTTCAAATGACATGCGTTATACTCTTCAATCTTCAGAAGCCATGAGATTTTGAAGACTTGGAATATTGTACAGACTCCAAACATCTCCTTTTGTGTTCCAAGATAAAAAGATAGTTAAAAATGTTTGTAACAACATCAGTAAAATATAAGCAAATTATCACATTTTTCCTTTTCTTTTTTCATTTTTCCAGTCATGTTTTTCTTTTTAATTTGCATATATATATATATATATATACTTTTTTTCACCTCACTGTAAGAAATAGATTTTTGAAGTAAGATTTTTTGGAGGGAGATCCTACAGTCTAAAAAATGCTGGGTTGTGTTAACCCAATTTTTGTTTCAAATGGACAAACTCAAACATTGGGTTAAAATGTAATTAAAAATGTAACCAAATGGCTGGTTTGTCCATATTTTACCCAAAATTGGGTTAAAACAACCCAGAATTTTTTAGAGTGTATAAAAAGGCTTTATTATTATAACACAAAATATAATATCTTATTTTTGTCTTTATTATTTGTGTGTCAAATGTCAGAGGTTTTCATGAAATTAATCCAAATATAATACTATTGAAAATTTTAAGTCTCTTGTTCACCAAGTTTTGATCAAAAACACAGTAAAAACAGCAGTACAGTATTTTTATTATTTTCTTTAATTTTCAGCATCATTACTCCAATCTTCAGTCTCATGATCCTTCAGACATCCTTCTTTGATGAATTTGATTCTTTGATGAATAGAAAGTTCAAAATTACAGCATTTATTTGTGACATTTGAAAATCAATCAATTTAATGTGTCCTTCCTGAATAAAAGTATTAATTTGTCAAAATACAAATCTTACCAACCCCAAACTTTTAAAATGTTTTTTTCTTTTGAACATGGATGATACAGCCTCCTCTACATTGTAAAAAATATTTTCAAGATTTGTTATCACAACATATTTTCTTTTGTCAAATCAACTTTATAATAAATTATTTAGTTGAGATAACTTATTATTTCTGATGGTAAAATTAATCTACTTCATTGTATTAACTCACTTTTTCCAGTTCAATCAACTTTTTAAAAATTTTAAGGCAACCCTACTTACTTTTTTAAGTTAAACCAACAATATTTTTTTATAGTGTAGTAATCACAACATTTTTTCTTTTGTCAAATCAACTTAAATAATTTATTTAGTTCAGATAACATATAATTTTGAGTTTCTGATGGTTAAATTAATCTCCTTCATTATATTAACTCATTTTTTCAGTTCAATGAACTTAAACTTTTAAGGCAACCAGGTTACTTACTTTTTTAAGTTAAACCATCAATATTTTTTACAGTGAAAAGATCGTTGTTGTGACTGAATATTGTGAAAACTCCCACAATTTCTTTTCCTCTATTTGTGTAGGACTTTACTATGACATTATACCTGAGACACTACTGGAAGGATGAGCGCTTGTCCTTCTCCAGCACCACAAATAAAAGCATGACTTTCGACGGCCGCTTGGTGAAGAAGATCTGGGTTCCTGATGTCTTCTTCGTCCACTCTAAAAGATCTTTTATTCATGACACCACCACAGAAAACATCATGCTGAGAGTCTTCCCTGATGGCCACGTTCTCTACAGCCTGAGGTAAAAAAGCAGATTATCAACACTAGCATTTCTGACTTTTAAGTGTGCCATTATAATTCCAATTATATGTAAGTTATGGATATATGTAGAGAGTTTAAATGTATTTATGTAAATGTACGTATACATATTTATTATTCGTGTTTATTTTGTACAATGTCAGAAAAAGTTAATATTTTTTCAGTTGTTCAGGAGTGACTACCAACTCAACTACTGGAGGTTGGAGGTTCACCTCCTAGCAACTCAACTACTGCCGTTGGTTTCATTTAAATAAAATGTGGTTTGAAAACAAAAGCACGTTGCTGGGCTTAAGCATTGCATTTGCATATTGCTGTGGTGTTAAAATTAGAACGACGCTTCTGGCCTGTGATGTTTTTTTCCGCGTCTTTTGTGCTGCGAGTTAAAAATTAGGCCAAGCTACCTGCGTGCTGGCTATAATCAAGGGCTAGCGCTGAGTTCAAAGTCAAATTTCAGATACTGTTCTGGCTCCAGGGAAAGTGTCATAATTGATGGGACTGGCCCAGATTATTTCCGTTGTCCGTCAAATGATCGACACCACGAGCAGAGGAGAGAAATACTGAGAGAAAAATGAGATGGCCTTAGTGCCAGTTCAGTAATGCCTCTAATATGCCATTCTTGACTATCATTACTAAGCAAATTTACATTTTTATTCTTAGCAGAAGCTTTATTACTAGAGCCCAAGATTTTCTCTTTTGGTGGAACACAAAAGGACATGCTTAGCAGAATGTTCAAGATGGTCTTTTATAGGGCATTAAAACGATTAATCATTTGTGTTTATATAATATATATGAGTGTTTGTGTATGTGTGTGTGTGTGTGTGTGTGTGTGTGTCTTTTACACCCGTATAGAAAAGATCAGCATAGACATTCTGCTGTAAAATTCCTTTTGCGTTTCACAAATGCAAGAAAGTCAGGTCACACTATATATTGGGTATCTTCAATTACTATGTACTTGTGTCATTTCACTACAGTGTACTTATTGTATTTATGTTGGATTGCAAAACACTTTTGCTTCTATTGAGGTGAGATACTGGTAAAGCTAGAGACATGTTTGGTGGTATGATTAGGTTTAATGGTTGGTTAAGGGATAGGTCAACAGTGTAATTATGGATATTATTACAGATATTAATAACATGTTATTATATACAGGCATTTTTAAGTACAATGTCTATCAAATTATTAATTTAAATCTTAATACATAGTAGTTAGTCAGATACTTGATATAAAATCGGACCGAAACTCATACAGGTTTGGCATGATGAGTGAATTTTCAATTTTTGAGGGAATTATCAATACAGGTTCCACTTCCCTTGTAACTGCAAATGAAAATTCCATGGATTTTGGGTTTGAAAACTGAATTCTGTGAGAAATATGATGAAATATAAAGATCTAAGGTGCGTTTCTGTATTTTCATTCATGTTATGCATGGTTCTTATGCCCAGGGTCACAGTTACAGCTGCCTGCAACATGGACTTCAGCCGTTTCCCACTGGATTCACAAACCTGCACTTTGGAGTTGGAGAGTTGTGAGTGAATCACTAATTTGTGTTATTTTTAGTGTGGCACATGTTCAATCCCCTTTGCCAAGTTAGTTTTTTCCTGAATTGGATCCCTTTTTTTTTTCTAGACGCCTACACAGATGAGGATCTGATGCTGTACTGGAAAAGTGGAGATGAGTCTTTGAGTATAGATGAAAAAATCTCTCTCTCTCAGTTCCTCATACAGAAGTTTCACACGACCTCTCGGCTGGCTTTCTACAGCAGCACAGGTATCTGGGATTATTTGTTAAGTTGGTTTATTTTAAATAAATGTGGCCCCAAGAAGGATTTGGACACTTAAGTCACACTTAAAAGTATAGGGATGTTATTACATTAGATATCAAAGCAAGTGGCATCTGCAAGCAAATTATACCAACATATTATTGTGAAATATTTAGTAATCATAGCAAACTTTTCCGCAAAGTTTGAGGCACCCCTCGCTGCAGCCTGTAGCACAATGACGTAGCTGGATGGTACAATACGTAGTGGATGGAGTTGTGTTTTTGGTGACGTCATAGACGCATGCGCAGTACCGATCTCTGGGTTATGATTTGCATGCGCTGGTCTTAAGTGACATGTATGCTCAATATTGTACTGAGAGGATGTTCTAACCTGTGTACTAGTAGTACTGTTAAATAGTATAAGTAATTGAAGAGTTCAGATGCAAAAGCCTCTAAATGCCATTTGAAATTTTCTTCTAAAATGACCATTTTTATCAAGCTTGTATATTTAAGTTCAGTAATTTCACTTAAATGACAATTAATAGGTAATCTTCATTGCCATTTAAGTGAAATTACTGAACTTAAAAATACAAGCTTGATAAAAACGATCATTCTAGAAGAAAACTTCAAATGGCACTTAGAGGCTTTTGCATCTGAACTCTTCAATTATTGATGAACAAGTAATTATTTACATAAATGGGATGCTTAAGTTATCCGAGTTTCGCTTTACACCACTATGCTACTTGCAAAATAGTTAATCTTACAACATTTTAAATCACATGATTTTAAACCTAAATTTTATAGATTAATAGCATGTCATCACCGCAAGTATTTTTTTAATGCGTGTATATAGAACATTTTAAAATAAAGCCATTTTATTTTATTCAGGTCATATTTGCTGTTGAGTGGAAGCAAAAACGAGTCAAGTAGCCAATTGTCTCTGTAATTTTAAAGGTAGGCCTACAATACAATAAGGTCTGTAAACATCTTAAAATATCATTACACATTCAATGGAAAATGGCAAAATAATAACAGTATCAAGGAAATAAATCTTCCTTAAGAGTTCCTTCTTTAATGGCTATACTAATTTTCCACAGTGATCCTAGGGTTTCTCTTAATTTGCTGTTCAGTGTCTGTTATGTCTGACATGTCTATGGTATGGATGCTTGTTTTCGCCACAGAGTGAGAAATAAAAAAGGTAATGGTGACTTTTTATCTCACTATTCTGACTTTTTATCTCTGAATTTATATAAAGTCACAATTGCAGGTTATAAAGTCAGAATTGCATGTTATGTCAGATTTGCATGATATAAACTTGCAATTGCGAGAAATATAGGCTACTTGAAATTCAGACTTTTTTTTCCTCAGAATTGCATTATATCTCGCAATTCTGACTTTATAGTAGCCTACACAATTGGGAGATATAAAATCAGAATTGCGTGATAAAGTCGCAATTGCGTGTTATAAAGAGATATTACACTATTCTGGGGTAAAAAAAAAATAGTGTAATATGTTTTTTTTTTTCCTTTTTTTCTTTTTTTTTTGACTTTATAACTCGCAATTGTAAGTTTATATCTAGCCCTATGAGTTAAATGAATTCAGAATTGCTAGAAAAAAGGTCAGAATTCTGACTTTATAATATGCAATTGGGAGATATAAAGTCAGAACTGCATGATATAAAGTCGCAATTGCGTGTTATAAAGTACAAATTTTTTCCCTTAGAATTTGACCTTATAACTCGCAATTGCAAGTTTATATCTCACAATTCTCACAAGTCAGTAGCAATTGTGAGAAAAAGTCACAATTTAAAAAAAAAAAATGTTTTAAATGCCGCGCATGCACGTAACAGCGTCCACTGCGTATTGGACCATCCAGCTACGTCATCGTGCTACTGTAGATGCATCGTGAAAATGTATTGATCAACGCGACGGTGTTAAAACTTAAAAATACAAGCTCCATTTGCAAAAGTGGTGTGCCAGGTTGGCCTCTTTTCTCTAGCAATGACTGTGTCCATATTCTCCTCTTTTGCTTCCTCCTCTTTTTTAGGGCTCATAAAAAAACCTCAATTGGCAAAGTGCGATTAATCTTCCTCTATTTATTTACCACGAGCGCCTGCTAACTTGCATCGTAGCCTACAATTCAATAGGTGTCACCATGATACAGTCTTACATGTGGTATCCAGGTTTATTAGTTCCATGTCATACAGTGTGATTTGTAATGACCTTATATGGTTGATGAAAATCCCAGTCTGTAAACAGGCTTTAAGAGACTTCTTCCAAAAACATGGAAACACTTACCAACCCCAAACTTTTCAACAGAAGTGTAAATGTCACTTTATTCGTTTTAAGTGTGGCTGAAATACTTTTGGAGCTCGAACATCCATCTGCATTTTTATCTCTCTTTCTCTCTACAGGATGGTACAACCGCCTGTACATAAACTTCACGCTTCGCCGCCACATCTTCTTCTTCCTGCTGCAGACTTATTTCCCTGCCACGCTTATGGTTATGTTGTCCTGGGTGTCGTTCTGGATTGATCGCAGGGCTGTTCCAGCCAGAGTTTCATTAGGTAAGATTATGGCGTTTTGCCCTCGGGCTCGTCACTCCTGCTTCCTGTGTCGTGTCACGCACCTGCAGATGTTAACAGCATGTGGTGATTTTATCCAGGTATTACCACAGTGCTCACCATGTCCACCATCATCACAGGGGTGAACGCCTCCATGCCCAGAGTCTCCTACATCAAAGCTGTGGACATTTACCTGTGGGTCAGTTTTGTGTTTGTGTTCCTGTCCGTCTTGGAGTACGCGGCAGTTAACTACCTGACCACGGTCCAGGAGAGGAGAGAGCGTAAGCTCAGAAATCGAGCAGCTCAAGAGCAGGTAAAAAAATCGGAATTTATGAACATTTATTTTTAATTATGGATGCGTTATTTTTTTTATATAATTAAGAGCACATGACATGAAATACGTTGAGTGTTGTGGCTCTTAGTTTTTGTTTGTTGGTTTTGAGTGTAATCTATCTGTTAATACCTAGAAATAGACATGATCTTGTCATATTGCATATTTTATTTGGTTCGTGGAGCTTTATCATCTCAGAAATAAACATAAAATGTCTTTACCTTAGGCAATCCAATCAAATAATGAGTCTAAAAAGATTTTAAGAGCTGTAAAAAAACACGTTTGAAATGACTACTGGTTCATTCATCAAAATGGAAATGAAAGTCGAGAACAATGCATTGTGGGATACAGTACAGAACACGGCATACTTTTGTTACACTATTGTTTTTTTCTGCTACTAATTTGGGTAGAAAAAAATGTATGACAGTATGCAATAGAGCTTATTCACAGCAGTGCCCTGTTTGATTTTTAACGGGACTGAAGGCAAGGTTGTGAGGGATAGACATGCAGTAAGTTGTATTTAATGTGTTTTGGAGGTTTTCTACTGATGAAACACTGCAAAAATATATTTCCAAGAAATTTCAGTAGACCAACATGAGCTGTGGAAAATGATAAGTGATCTAGGAGATTTATACAGCAGATGTCATTGAAAACAAGTTAAGTCTATCCCTCACAGCCTTGTCATGGTGCTGCTTTAAATAAGGTCTATTCCATAGCCACAAGCTATGTTTAGAATTGATATTTGAACTCTAGCATACTACTTACTAATGGTGACTACTATTTTTTATTTTTTTATTATTTTATTTTATAATTTTTACACAGAAATGAAGGCCTAGTACTAGAGCATAAATGCAATGTATCATAACAATTATATTTCATATGCAAGCTAATGGTGTAGTTGAGGAATTGTGTGGTATATGGATACAAAAGTACTTTATATCTCCAAAAACACAGCATTAATGAATAGATGAGAAGTAAACAAACAAAAAAAAAGATATATTATTTGTATGATTAAAAATGTATATTTTTTGTACAATCACTCAATTAATTGTTGGGGTCGTATAGACCCGGAAGCCCAGAAGTGTAAACAGGAAACAAAGACCATTTGAAGCTTAAGTATTATTTTCCAGCTGTAATCCGCTACTGTTATGTGGATGGAGGAGAGAACCCAGGCACAGACGAAATGCAGACACTAAACGTTTATTAAGACACAAACAGAAGACAAAAACCCACGAGGGGGCAAAACAGAGACAATACAAACGGGAGGGTAACGCTTCCTTTTACAGTACAGTACTTACAGTGTACTTACAGTGTACTTACAGGTACCTAGAAAGTACTGGCTAATATAAGGTAAGTACATGGAACAGGGGTAGGTTTAGGGGTAAGTTCAGGGATAATACTAGTTATTACCCAGTAATTGTAGTTAGTAAAATAAGTACATAGTATTTACATGGGTAACTGGATAGACTATTACCTAACAGCAAATACAAGATCAAGACGTTCTTCAAAGACAAGGTATTCACGGGTAGATTCTCACAAAGTTTGACACGCAATGAGAAACAATGAACCAACACAGGACAGCAAACACAAGGGGATTATATAGAGAGAAAATAATGAGGGGAACAGGTGACACAGACTTGGTAATAATGACAGGACGAGGATAACAAGGGGGCGGGGTATTAAACGAGACAACACAATCACATGGCCCAAACGACTGGTTCTGCCATGATCCTGCCACAAGACTAGAAAAATCAATGACATGATGGCAGAATCATGACAGCTACTTTGTTGTCATGACCATCTTGCATATAAACGTCTTAACTCTTTCTATTCCAATCAAATATCAAAACACAATAGATTGTGTGGGTATTACTTCCGACCTATCCATGAATGGAAAGTCAACTCAGTCGCATTGCATTGTGGGATATTGTATTTCACACATTGTGCACGGGTTGTGCTGTATACTGCACTTTTTAAAGGTATTTCTATGCATACAAAAATATTGCCCTTCTTTATAGTGGCCAACTTTTTGATTGGACTTGGTTTATTAATGCCATCTGATAATTTGCCCTTGTTTGCCTTTGTTTTCTGTTCTCTCTGGGTGCCCTACTCAACATGTTCCAGTCTTTGCCGTGTACCTGCGGTATGTCCCACACCAGGACCATGATGTTGGATGGGACCTACAGTGAGGCTGACGCCAACAGCTTGGCTGGCTACACAGAGGCTCCCATGGTTCACGAAGAATTGGTGCCGGAGAAACAGGAACATATGGTGGTTCACCTGTCAATGAGCAGCGAGTCCACCACCACTAAGAAAAAGGGCATCCGGGCCTTCCGCATCATGCAGAACACGCATGCCATTGATAAGTACTCCCGCATGATCTTCCCGGGAGCCTATATAGTTTTCAACCTCATTTACTGGTCGGTGTACTGCTGATCGTTCTCCAGCATCTTACACTCTTTAAGACTTTTGGAGGTTTACACAACCATCCTTCTGACTTTTTGCTGCAACATTGGTTCATGCGATACCAAACTGCAGTCACTTTCATTAGCAAAAAGACTGGAGGAATATGGTTGAGTGCTTTGTATAGGCCTTTTCAGGTTTATGACAAATTAACTGTAAAACGTTTATCAGACTTTTTGTATGGGATTGTGTTTTCTCTTCATGTTTGCGTCTTTGGTCTATGGTATGGTATGTACAGAGCAAAGTCTGATTTTAGCAACTCTTTTAAATGTGTACTAAATAATTTTTTTCCACTTTTACTTTTTATACCTAAAAAAAAATAGTACTTTTAACAGAGATGTTGAAAGAATAGTTAAGAGATCCAGTCATATCATTGGCCTAAAAATCCTGTTTTTTTTCTTCTACATATGGTGGGCTGCACCCTCATGGGAGCCGCCATGTTTAGATCACATGACCATCTGTTTTGTGCAGTTTTAGCAATTTAATACATTTATATATATATTTAGCAAAGATTTATACATAATTTTTTACAAAAAACAAAACAAAAGGCCATATAAAACAAACCAAATACAATATAAAGATGCAACTCAACAAGAATGTTGTCATCAGACAAAAAAAACCCAAAAAGGAACAGGACAGAAACAAATAACAAAATAACTGCTCCGATGTAAAGTGGCAGTGGTTAATGAATTTAATGTAATGAATTAACACTAACTTAAAATTATTTTGTAAACCTTTAAAGCTACACTGTGTGATTTTTACGCCCATCTAGCGGTGAAAAGGTATATGACCATCCAGTGAATATTAGTTTCTGTTCCTCTCAATTCCGATTTCGTTTTAACTCGGTGGCCAATGTAGTCCAAGATTAACATGGCTTCCAGTTCGACCTCGTCCATGAGTGTTAACTGAAACGTAAACGCGAAAGGCGAAGCTTTAATTAACGGGTATGTCCCTCTTTGGCTAATGTACTTTCAAGATGGAGGGGCGACATGGCGACCGACATTAGATCCCCTTACTCCTATGTATTTTCAATGGCATATTATACACTCACGAGAATACTTTATTACTTGAACGAAGTAAATATACATTAATGAGCACATATATTTTTGAAAGAACTAAGTGTTTTTAGCTAAGAATAAACTAAAAGAGTTACACAGTGTAGCTTTAAGTCTATTTATTTGTTTATCTGCAATGTCCAGTTTCATTTCCAAGGCCGTTTTATTCATGCTTGCAATCACTCATGTTAATATAGTAATTACCAGTAACGAGAAAGAATCTCCTTTCAGTTTGAGGTTTGTTTGGATGTGCGTGTTAAGTGGAGTGTGTGTGTGTGTATTTGATACCATTATAATTTTCATGCAAAATAAATCGGTATGTCTTTACTGTGGTTCATCTGTATGCATGTTAGTTTTATTTATTATACTTATATTTTATATCAGTTATACTCTAACCTGAACTTGCCATGATACCTTACAAGAGTTGAGAGCAAAGCTTGTTCATAGGCAGTCAGTGCAGGCTAATTGTTAGTTTGTGATGAAATGGTTTTGAATACAACTTGAAACGCCTTATGTGCAATGTTAAACAATGAAGGTGATGGTTAATGGTTGGTTGGTGGGACAATTTTAGTGCACATTAGTACACATACAGGCATCACATGCCAAATTTTCAAAACACCTGTTGCTGTAAATGAAAATGCTGAACTACAGTACATTCTTGAAGTTTGTATTTATATTTGAGGGTATAACCAAATCATTGAATCTATGACGTCAGTTCCACTCCATAAGATGTTTCTGTAATTGTTGGAAAGTTAAGAATGTAATATGTGTTGACCAGAAAAAAGGTGCAATGTAAAGTTATATATATGTATAGATCTTTTTTTTTATTTTTTAAAATGTATAATGGTGAAGCTTATTGTTTGTTGCATTACATTATCACACAGTACCCCTGAAATCACCTGTCCTAAGATAACTCAATAAAAAAATAATCACTGTGTCCTGACAGAAGGCATATAGTAAAGTTTCTCAGCTGAGTCCCTGCTCAACACCATGAGATGTTTATAAAAGCATATAGAAATGTGATATTAAAGGCAGCCTTTATCCTGAGTGTCCTCTTTCTTTGAGTTCAACGATGATAATGGAATTTATAAATTATTTGACTTGATGGGTCCACATAAACAAAAAGCTACAACATTAATTTGTTTGGTTATTTGATCATTTTCTTTTTAATTGTAATAATTTAATTATAGATGCTGGAAATTTGTTTGAAACCATCCTGTATAGTCTGAATTTATTCACTTGTTGAAGTAATGCTAGATATGTAATATTTATATTAAATATTTTACTCATGCAGAGGTGGAAAGTAGGCTAACGAATTACATTTATAGTCGCACTACGCCTCATAAAGTTTTTTTTTTTGTGTGTGTGCGTATTTCTACTTTTTTTAAGTAGTTTTTAAAATATGTAAATTTATTATAAAACATTATACGGTTATAAATCAAAGATATCCCCTAAGCAAGTATCATATTTTCATTGAAACATTATCACAACTGTCAATAATTTCTAAAACAGTCGCTGAATAATAGCAAAATACTATGTAATAATATTATGAATACAATTTATTTAAACATTATTTAAGGTATGCATATTTTTGTTTAATTTAGTAAATCTGTTTTGCAGAACTTCATCAAAAAAGATAAAAGTTTACATTTTCATTTGATTGCGACCGTTTTTTGATCATACATTTTTATTAAGTCATAAAAAGACACATTAACTTTCTGTATAAAATACTTTTCATAGGACTTCTTAAATATTTTAATAAATTATCATGTTAAAAATAGTTGTTAATCTAATAATAAGTTATTGAATTTAGTTGACATGTTTTATTGAAATTTGAATAAACAAAACAAACAAAATGGTTTCTAGTTTTTATAATAAAAGCATTTGTTAAACCAAAAAAAAAACTGCTTTCATTCATTCAACTGACAATAATAATAATATAATAATAACAACCGTAATTTAATTTTACCGTTTATTTATTTAATAATTGGCATAGTCCATCCAAAAATTAAAATTAGCCCATGTATTATTAACACTCAAGTCAGCATTCTTCATCAGGTGAATACAGCACAGTTATATAAAAAATGTCCTGGCTCTTATGAAAGGCCGCTTCTGTTTTGAAGTCCATAAAAGTGCATCTATCCATTCCATCATAGGCTACTAGAATGGAAGAGTATGGAAGGGTTTTATTACAAATTAGTTATTTATAATTTTATTATACAAATAAATGTTTTTTGTTGTGTTTATTTATTTACTTATTTTCGCCAGCCTGTTACGGTCAGTAGACGCTCTCTTTTTTTTTTTTTTTTGAATAATTCCGGCGCGCAGTGACGTGCGCTCATCAGTTACTCAGCGGATGTGCTGCTTCTGCCTGCCTAATCTCCTCCTCGACCAGCCCGAGCAACGGACAGGCCTGCGTTGACTTCCTGACGGATCACAGTAACTTTGTTGCTCGAAGAACAACTTAAGGTCATTTCTTATCATACATTCTCGCATCAGATGCACATATATCCGTAAGTACTACCACTTTATCGATTATTTAAGCTCTGAATACACCGTTATTTCAGTATAAGTTAGCTGCATTGCTGTGCTGTGTTACTTCCTAAACACAAAGTTGACAGCTTCAAAAGTGTGACTGTAGGATTTAATGATCTTAATTGCGTTCTGCATGGTTCAGTCGAGGCTGTAACGTTAATCCTCTATATTTTGTTGTTACACTGAATTATATCTGACTTTAAGGTTGAATTTATGTTACGTTACCTTCAACTGCTTCTTTTATTCAAATGCATTATCGTGTAAAAGAGGGCGTGTGGTTGTTTTGGTTGTGACTTGTGCCATGATTATCCGTTTATCTTTATAACATGTTAAAAGTGGACAAATGGTTTCATTAAAGGAGGCATTTTCTTATAATCTGCTATTTGAGCCATGTATTTAACCATTGGACTACAATTTAAAGTGTAGTTTACAAACTTTACAAAGCTAGATATCCCCTATTCAGAATATACATGCATACACACGCACACACACACACACACACACACACACACACACACACTCACACACACACACACACACACACACACACACACACACACACACACACACACACACACACACTCACACACACACTATATATATATATATATATATATACTGTATATATACTACCGGTCAAAAGTTTTGTGTTTTTAAATGAAGTCTCTTCTGCTCACCAAGGCTGCTTTATTTGATGGAAAAAAATGACAAACAGTAATATTGTGAAATATTATGACAATTTAAAGTGACAGTTTTCTATTTTAATATATTTTAAAATGTAATTTGAAAGCTGAATGTTGCTGATTACACATCAGTTTTCAGTGTCACATGATCCTTCAGAAATCATTCTAATATGCTGATTTTATGCTCAAAAAACATAAATTATAATTTTCAATGTTGAAAACAGTCGTGTACCATTTCCCCCCAAAATTCTATGATGAATAGAAAGTTCAAAAGAACAGCATTTATTTAAAATATAATCTTTTCTAACATTAAAAATGTCTTTACTGTAACTTTTGATCAATTTAACTCATCCTTGATAAATAAAAGTATAAAAAAAATCGAAAAAAATCTTACCGATCTAAAACTTTTGACCGGTAACTTTTGACCAGTGTATATATATATATATATATATATATATATATATATATATACTGTACACACTAGTCAAAAGTATATATATACATACTATATATACTGAATAGTATGTATGTGTGTGTGTGTATATATTTTTGTGTATTTAAAATGTACGTTATAGATATTTTTCATTTGTATGTTTGTCCACATTTCTACTGCAAAACCTTCTTGACCCCTAAATTGGTTGAAAACCAAGACACTAGCCAGGGGATTACAGTGTTCTACAAATGTATTGTTTTTCATATGAAAAGGGTTATAGGAATGCCAGAGAAGGGAATGCTGTGCAAGATATGACTCATACAGGAAAGTGGCTTATAATTACAGAGGGCTTTTGGCTGTGCTTTAGAACATGTAGGCACAAAGAACTGTTTTGTGTCCCCTAAGAAAAGTTATGCAGCCTTGCTGATGTACAGGGTTTGGAGGAAACATTGTGCTGTAGGGTGGAGTGGTTTAGTTAAGTTGTTACATTGTATGCAGCACCCAAAATGTGTTTGGTACAAAGAACCAGCTGCTGAGACGTGATTCATTAACTATCACCATTTGTGAGCAAAGCAAACCCGCCAATTTTGTTGCAGTTTGTTTGTTCTATACATTTGTTTGTTCTATACATTTATAGGGGATCTCCTTCCAACAGTGTAAGATCCTGCCACAATCGTTACTTGCGAGTAATGGTTACTCCCGATACCATTTTTTCTGAACCGATCCAATCCGATAGCAAAAATTCTGAGTATCAACCGATACCGATCCGATACCAGCGCAGTTTTTTTTTTTCAAGTAGAATTTCTATAACTCTGTGTGTTGAACTGATAATCATTCCTAGATTGTGTTAAACACAATCTACTTAATACAGGCAACTTCATTATAAAGAAAAAAAAAATATATGATCTAATCTATGACAAAAATTCTATTATAAACTAGATTGGATAACTCAGCAATAAAATGTAGTCTAGAAAAATCTAATCACAAAATACACAATAATTGTATAAAAATTTAGTGAAAAAATGCATTATTTAGTGGGGAACAAATAAGAGGAAATAAGTATAATAGCACTAAATTTGGTAAAACATTACACATTGCTCTTTGTATTGTTGTAAAATACATTCATGAAAAATAAGATAAAAATCAAAATAATCAAAACTATAAAATTAAGACATATTTTAAATGTATAGCACAGCTGTTTAATGAGGCCGCAACATATGATCGATAGGACAGAACAAAAAAGGCTATTAATAATCTTCCATTGTGCAGAAGTATTATGATATGATTATGTAAGACTCCAATACGCGCTGTTTGAATGCTAAATGACTGACAGCCGCAGCTGAGGGAAAAGTTTACGTAAACTTGAATTTAATGACTTAAATATTAATTTCTATCTTACATTATACTATAGTATGGCTTCAAGAACACTTATAATATAGTGCATGAAAACCTTATGGTGCTTTATGCTTTTGTGGGGCTTAACAATAACACAGAATAGTAAATGGACAATATCGGATTTGGATCGGCCTCGTCTCACAATACCCGATCTGTCAAAAATGGCAGTATCGGATCGGGACATCCCATTTATTTTTTATAGTAGTTTTATTTTATTTATTTATTTTTTTATTTATTTTTTATTGTAACTATGGTTACAATTTTAGATTTTTTTTTCTTAACTGAATTCCTTAACTGAAAATATTTTATATTTATATATTTGACAGACCATTTTATCCAAAGTCACACATACGACTGTATTCCACTACGTATACAGTTTTTCAGTATATTTGTTTTCTAGGAATCAAATCAATGACTTGGCATGGTTTTACCAGTGTCACTTTAAAGAGTGAAGATCATACTTATTTATAATATGATCCTATGTTTTTGCATTAGGTCAGCCTTAACCTAATGACCCAGCAAGAGCAGCATGAATTCAAGGAATGTTTGGAGGAAGCCCTGTCCTGGATGCAGGCCATCCAGGAGAGGCTTAAACAAAATGATAACACCCAAGGGCCCAGATCAGCGCTGGAGGTCAGGCTCAGAGAGACAGAGGTGAGACCTCCCTTGACCTTTAACCTATTTAGAGCATGGTAGTACTCAAATAGAACCATTTCAGTTTCTCAAATGTGTCTCATGTTTGCTAAAGAAGCTATTGTGATCATTTCACATCACAGCTGCACGATTACACTAATCGGTAAAATATTGGGATCTCAATTCAAACACCCTCGTGATCTTATTCCTAAATGAAATATGATTAAGCTATGTCTATTCAAATCTTTGACAAGTACGATTACAATGATCTTTCAGATCTGCATGGTGCTGCCACAGAGAGAACAGTTGTCATGTTTGAAACCACTTCACAAACATAGTTTTTTCCAACCACACTATGCCACTATCAATATTTCTGTGACAATAATTGAAATCCTTACTGAAGTACTGGGATAAAAGCCTCCAGTAGCAGCTTGACGGTTCAAAAGAAGACTGTATTACATTGTTACACCAGTAGGTGGTGACAAGTGACTGTTAAGAAATGTATTTTTGTCATTGAATCTTTCACTAAAGAGTTCATTAAAAAACACTGATTCATCCAGTAATGAAACAAGTAAAGTTTGTATTAGTGAGTCATTCATTCAAACCGATTAAAACATATATCATATATTAATGAATCATTCACATTATTTTACATATTTTAAATAGATTACAACAAATAACATTTTGTTAGAACCTCTGTTATTTTGTTCTTTATTCAGAATTGTTGGAGAATCATGATCTCTTTTTTGAACAAAATAATAGTCAATTTGTCCAGAATCGTGTTGCTCTATTTCATAGAGATAGATTGTACATAATCTCATCGGTTTAAATGTTCCATTAAGCATGACTTTTCTTTGTTGTAAAGAAAATCCATAGCTCAGAGCCTGATGGCCATGTGAAGATGGACAGGGTGCTTGTGGCTTCTGAAGCTCTGCTTCGAAATGGAGATGAAGAAATGAAGAATCAGACTCATTCGAAACTCAAAGATCTGAAAGCGCTCTGGGAGGAGACGTTAACCTACATCATTCACTGTCACAGGTACAGATTTTTTCCATAGGTTGACCAATCATATCACCAATGTATTGCCAGTCATAAATCTCTTCCTATCTACCATATTTTTCAACGCGGAAGTAAGGCTTTCTCTGTGAATGTGTGAGACTTTCGATTTATTTGCTGTTATAGGGAATTAACAAGAAAAATAAGTGCCAGTGTGTTATTAATTAAGGACACTACATTAAAATAATATGGTAAGAAATACCAGTTTGCAAAATCAAGCAGTATAACGAGCTGTTTTGTACAGCTAAAAATAACTGGAAGCAAATGACACAAGAACCTGACACTATTTAACATAAAAGTTTTTGTTTACATAACATATGTGTGTTATTATATTTATATACTGTGTGTATGTTACATTTATATCTGTGGGTGTGGGTTTGGGTTTTTGTGCGTGTTTGTGTATGTACACACACAGTTAAAAGCTTTGTAGGAAAACTTTGTTTATTAGTTTTGATAGTTTTGTCATTATACTATGATTTGGCCACGAATGACCAATCAGAATATAGGATGTATAATTATTTATTTCACATTTTCTATTCCCCTGTGATAGTCGTATCGAGTGGGTGTGGCTGCACTGGAGTGAATACCTAAAGGCCCATGAGGAGTTTGGGATGTGGCTGGAGAAGATGCACAGGGCTCTGGAGCCTCTGCTTGAGATGCAGCTGGGTCTCCAGGAGAAGCTGTGGCAGGTGGATCATCTGCAGGTCCTTCACAGTGACATCCAAGGCCAGGCACTGTTTCTGGAGAGGCTCCTGGATGAGGCTGCAACGCTGTTCAACCGGACCGAGGACCCCAGTGTAAATGTGCAGGCTCAGCAAGGTCTTCAAAATGCCTACAACCATATTCGAGACCGAGCACAGGTAAACCTTCATCTGTTCAGGTCGATAATTAAAAAATTCAAGAGTTTAGTTATCACTGACAACTAGGGGTGGGAATCTCAAGGCATCTCACGATTCGATTCAATTACGATTCAGAGGGTAACGATTATCGATGCATCTTTTTTTGAGACTACTTGGTACTTTTAAAGCAAAGTATTTAAAGGAGTAGTTCACTTTAAAAAAAAAAATAAAAAAAAACTTTTGCTGATAATTTACTCACCCCCATGTCATCCAAGATATCCATATCATTATTTCTTCAGTTGAAAAGAAATTAAGGTTTTTGATGAAAACATTCCAGGATTTTTCTCCATTTAAAGGACTTCAATGGGAACCAAACGGTTCAAGGTCCAAAAGACAGTTTCAGTGCAAACTGTTCAGAGGGCTTTAAACGATTTCAGATGATGAATAAGGGTCTTATCAAACGAAACGATCGCTCATTTAAAAAAAAAAAGTTTTATAGACCATTTCACAAGATGTAAACAACACTGGTCCAGAAGCACTTCCGGTTTCAGTTTTTTAACACTACATAAAAGCTGGGATAAAATACAACCAACAGAACATTTAAAACTGAATCAAAAAGTTAAACAAACATCTTTAAGATGTTTTCTTTACATGTGAAATAAAGAAAACAGTTTCAAACTGAAACAGGAAGTGCTTCTGGACCAGTGTTGTTGACATCTTGTGAAATGGCCTATAAGTTTAAGTTTTATAAGCTCAAATGGTCGCCTTGCTCTGTTCTGTGATGCACGTTCATGACTCCTGTTCGAACTCGTTTATCAAAATGAACTAATCTTTTTCCGAGTCATTTGGTTCATTCAACTTGTTCATTCAAAATGACTAATTGACTCGGGAAAAGAATATTATATTGTATTATATTGTTAATGTTTCATAAGGTTGTTCAGCATGTTAAATAAGTTAAAACAGCCTTATAATCTTCCATGTCTGTTACACACACTTTTGAAGGTCATTCAAAATATCAAGTGTCAAGATACGTGGTTCTTCAGTTCTCCACTGCTGTCACTGACTGGTTGTAACTTGTTTTGATCTTCCATAGTTATTATTGAAGAATCTAGGGGTCTACATAAAGTTTTTGGTCAATAAGGTTTTTAAATGTTTTTTTTGGTTTTTAATTGCTCACCAAGACCAAGATTTTGGGGTAATTGTTTTGAATCCAATTAGGGTCAATTTGACCCAGACCATACAGGCTGTAACGAGAAATCGAAGAGTGCATGAGGGTTAAAAGAACAGAATTTATTTGAAATAGAAACCTTGCTACGATGTAAAAATCTTTTGTACAATTTAATGCATCCTTACTAAACTAAAAGTATTATGTTTATTTAAAAAACCTTTGAATGGTTGTGTGTAATTTATAATTAACCTCTAATAATGTTGGCGTTCTTAATGCATCCATCATACCTGGAGGATTAATTGAATTTATACACTTGAAAATAATACTGTAGTGTCAAAGATATGACTTTTTACTTTAATAGAAATGGATTACTTTTTTGCAGGAAAGGTTGGCATTGGCAAAGAAAGTAGTGGAGGAGCACCAGCAATACCAAAGTGACTATCATAAATTCCAAACCTGGCTGATGTCTAAAACAGAAGAAGTCAGCCGTTTCAGTGACATGGAGGATACGCCACAGAACAGGCTAAAAGCCCTGCAGGTACACTGACCTACTTATTTGGGGGAGGGGAGGTCAGAATGATCAACTGGGAAAATCATCTCTGCTTTGGAAGCCAAGCTGTGGATAAACCATTCCAGTTTAGCCGAGTACTTGCTAATTTGCGTCCTCATTCTCATTTCAGGCTACTGTATTAAAGGGGGCATGTGAAAAATCTTATTACTATGTCTAAAACTATGTAAAATCTAGTACTATGTAAACATGCAGAATCAGTTAGTTAAGGAAAACAGGAACTGCAACCATAGATGCAAGAGCGACTAATAAAACTAAAAACAGCTGGATGAAAAACTAAGAGAGGGATGCCTCATGTGGACTGTCTCTTATAAAGACTGAAAAAGATCCAACCCCTAAAGGTTGACTGGACCAATGAGCACGGTGAAATGTCCGAGTTGGAAGGTTGCTCTAGTTAATTTACGAGTCTTTGTCCCAAGTGGGGTTATACCTTCATTAATGCTCAGATAGATTTAACACATTCTAGAAGATGGTGATGTACATCAAAGTGTGAGTCATTAAATAAGGTTTAATTAGGTAGGAGGCATGATACAGGTGAGGTTACACTGATCGTTAGTTGGTTGTGTACCAAGGTACATACCATAATATAGTACACAAGACAGTAAATCATATACACAATGCTATGACGAATGTTCATTTATAGATCAGTTAGTCTATGATTAATGCAGCTAAGGCCCCGTCCACACTACTGCGTTTTCGTTTAAAAACGGAGAATTAAAACGAATACGATCTCCGTCCACACCAGCGTTTTGTCTGCGTATTAGAATTGATCTCCGTCCACATTAAAACGACTGAAAACGCAGATCACGTGACCATTCACCAACACTGGGCATGCGCGCGCCGGTGTAAACAGTGGTTGGCGAATCAGGGAAGGACACGTCATGACTGATGACACCCAATCATAGAGCCGAGCGTGAGCCTCTGCGTCAGCGTTTGTAAACTCCTCCGTTTTGTCTCGTCCACACTAAAACGCCCTCCGGAGTTTCAAAACGCAAAACGCAGCTGCAGCGTTTCTAAACTTCTCCGTTTTAGGTCTTCGTTTTTCCCGTTTTAGTGTGGACGGGAGGTGCAAACGTAGCAAAAGGTCTCCGTTTTTAAACGAAAACGCAGTAGTGTGGACGGGGCCTAAGTCTGTATGAAAGATTGTTTCTGTCCTCCCATTGTCTCTCTCTTCCACATGCACTATCTTCCAAAGAAATGTGGTCGTAAAACCTCCTTATCAGCCCTGTAACATGACACTGTTTCAGTTCTGGTGTTCGTTTCCTTTGGGATGTTAGTTTTGGAGTTTCATAAACCTGTCTGATGGTTCCAGGCTCTACAGATTTCTTTGCTGACCACTTTCTACCAGTTTTTAACACGTGCTGCCTCCCTTACACGTGTCGTCTGACTCTAATAAGGTCGTTTCCAGTCTGACCTTTGCGCACTTAAACTCCTCGGTTAAAGTAGAGACTGGCAGCTGCAATATTCCTTTACTATAAAGTCCCACCGCTGAGGCAGTGTGGAACTCCCAACCATTTACGGATGTATGAACTTATTTAAGCTTATCCACTGTTGTCAAAGAAACCTCATACACAGTCAGTGGCCACAGCAACCTCGGCAATAGACCAAACTGAAAGTACCAGAGTTTTAGTTTTACTGGTAGGGCGCAGCTGATTATGCTCTTCAACCCTTTCACTGCGTATCGTCTAACTTCTCCCCTTCAAACTGTGTCCTTTAGATCCCCATCTTACCATCTCCCAAGACTCTTCACTGGCTTCTCAGAAACTATTGGTATTGCCTCACCATTAATGAAGAATCTACTACCTTTCCTTTAACTAGTGAGATGCTCCTTGATTTAGAGTGCTTGAATTGCATTCTTGCCCATTCAATATTATCGGTTAACTTACCCAATAACCGATTAGTGCAGGCTACTGTTGTAGTCATCCATGTATGCTCTGATTTGTGGTAGTAGCATCCCAGAAGCCAAGCGCTCTCCTCCTACTACCCATCTTGATGCCCTAATGATTATTTCCATTGCCATGGTAAAAGCCAATGAAGAAATGGTGCATCCTGCCATTATTCCAACCTCTAAGCATTGCCATGAAGTGCTGAATTCTGGAGTTGAGAAACTAAATTGCAAATCTCCAAAATAGGTGTTGCTGACATCGGTATTCTAAAAAAATCAAATGTTGCCCATAGAAGCTCATGTGGCACTGAACCATATGCATTAGCCAAATCCAGGATCCTTCCTCTCATTTTTAGCTGATTGAATTAGTTGCCAGATAACATTGATATGTTCTAAGCATCCTGAGAACCCCGGAATGCCTGCTTTTTGAATTGAAGCGTCAATGAAGCCATTCTTTAATAGGTAGGTGGACAATCTCTGGGCAATAATGCTGAAGAAAATCTTACCTTCAACGTTTAATAGTGAAATAGGATGAAACTGACTGATGCTTGTAGCATCTTTTTCTGCTCTGTGCCATGCTCTAGATACAACCTGTTTTTCCCATGCCACTTTTATCAATTTCCACAGAATTCCACAAAACTCCATTAGACCCTGGAGATGATCTATAATATAAATGGTCTCGACAGAATTAATAAAACTGAGCTGATGCCTCAGAAATACCTTTCTGAGCTGTTCACATCCTTGGACTTATTCTTTGTTTCCATAGCAACGTTCACCATGCCAAAATGGACCAATGACTTTGTTGTTGTTGTTGACAGGAAGATACTTCATCATTACATTCATTCATTTATTCTCTCTCGAAATATTGAAGAACAAAAATCCTGTGCAGCTTCTTTCTTTGCCACAGTCATGTTTGGCTTGCTCCCTGGGGGATTAAGGAGTGATTTTCTGTAAAGCTGCTTTGAAACAATATGCATTTTGAAAATTGCTATACAAATAAACTTGACCTGACTTTCACTGTTGAGGCTGCTGCCATTTTGCATATATACATATCTGTATTTCTTCATCTCAAACTTGAATCTGTTTTTTTTTTTTAAAACTGAATATTTGCAGTATAAGAATTCAGAACAAAAAACTAGCTGTTTGAAAATACATGTCTATAAAGTTTCAAATGTTCAATATTCATTTCAAAAACAAAACGAATTCACAAAACGAACTATTTAAACTACCATCTAAAATTCAATTTTGTTAGATTACACTTGCAAAGTATTTAAATTCAAATAATTTTGTCAAATTTTTAGCTCTATTAGTTTTATTTTTATATTTTCAGATTTCATTTTAAACTTAGTTTGTTTTAAGTAATTTTTTATGTCCTTTTATCATTATTATTTGTATTATTAAATATTATTCTATATTATTATTTTAGTTTTAGTAAGTTTAGTAATTCAGTTAGTTGCCAGGGCAGCATTTCTAAATTTTCTAAAGTTGTTCATCTAAAATTTGTTTTATTTTGTCAACTTTATTTCAATTAGCGCAAATTAGCATTTTTAATAGATTTATTTAGTTGTAGCTTTGTTTATCAATAACAACAATGATGATATATGGAGTTAATCATTGTATATTCTATCTGCAATATTTCTTAATTAATGGTCTGTGTACACATTGAGATGGTCATCTTTGGCTATTGATCACAAACCACTTCTTATGCCATGTTAAGAATGCCTTTTCTCAAATTTATTATGAAGAATATTTACAATTAATCATAATTAATTAATTTTTCCTCCCAGGAGCTGAATGCTAGTATAGCCCAAGAAGAACTCACTCTCCAGGACATTGAAAGGTTGTCTGAGGTGGTGAAGGCCAACACGTCTCCAGCAGGTGCGGAGAAGATCACAAAAGAGATGGAGGAGTTAAGGCTGGCCTGGCAGAGGTTACGCCAAATCCTTATAGAGATTCAAGAAGAGCTCCAGAGCTCACTGGACTCTGAGACCGAGTATTCAAACCGCTGTAAGGAGCTCTGGGCGGACCTGGGGCAGATCAGATCCCTGGTCCAGAACCTCAGCAGTGAGCTGGAGAGCAGGGATGGAGAGAGGACTGAGGAACACTTGGTAGCTCAATGGAAGGCGCACACGGTTAGCACTCTGTTCATTTCTCTCCCCACTCCCAAATACTTTAAATACCTTCTTGTAGGACACAGATGGAGACTCAACATATTTTTGTGACAGCTAATGACACTTACAGTGATTTAGGGAATGCCTTGGGTAAATTCCTATTGGGGGTGTGTCAGTAATTTGATCCATAGTAAATCAAATTTTACAAGTAGAAGAGTTCTGTGGTTTGCAATACTTCCAAAAAGTGACGGGCACACAAGAGTGAAATGTTGTGACACTTTGTATTCAGTATTTCAGTGCAAACATCTTGCGTCTTTTTCACTTACTGCGTTCACCTTGCACGATCACCTTTTTCTATCATTTTAGACATTGAGATGATTTAATGAAGTTTTCTGATTTAAACTTGGCAAAAACAGTGTCAGAAGTTGTGTCATGGCATAATATATAATAAAAACTGCATATACGTTTACATATTTTAGATTAGGGCTGTCAAACGTTTAATCATGATTAATCACATCCAAAATAAAAGTTTGTGTTTATATAATATATATGGGTGCACTGTGTATAATTATTTTATATATATAAATACACACACATGCTTGTATATATTTAAGAAATATTTTCATGTATATTCTGTATATAGATTTATATATAATTTATATTATATATATAAATATAAATATTTTATATATAAATAATATTTTTTTGCTTAAATATATATGCATGTCTGTGTATTTATATACATATATATATAAAATAATTATACACAGTGCACCCATATGTATTATATAAACACAAACTCTTATTTTGGATGCGATTAATCGCGATTAATCGTTTGACAGCCCTATTTTAGATTGCTGTTTAAAATTAAAGGGACAATGTGTAGTAATTTCTCCCATCTAGCGGTGAAAATGTATTTTACATTCAAACGAAAGTGCCAGCACCTCACTTTTTCAAATGCACGTTGCATCTACGGTAGCTGTTATGTACCAAAAAGCGATGACAGGATGTCTTCTAATAGCACTTCGTCGAGTGTTCCTTCAGGTGAACAGGTTTGTTATTTTAAACAAACTGCAACTAGACACAACGAACAAACTAATGTTACAGTATGAATTACTGACTGTGAAAAACATGAACTATTCTAATAGGTAGTTATGCCTTCTTTATTCGTTATATTTTCTGAACTACGTGCATTGTTAGATATCATCATCAACTTTTAACTATAAATGTTCTACTATCTATAAAATAAAGTACACAACTAAACAATGGAAAAAAGCTTGTAATTAAGACTGTAACATTGACTTACCTGTTGAGAAGAAAGCAGGACTTCAGCATCTCTTTTGAAATCTTTCCCGACATTAGCAAAAAGCTATCCCGACATACATTAAGTCGTGTTTTTTGTAATCTCCGGTCACGTTTCCTTTTACAATCTATTTTGGACTTTTCTGGCAATGAGGATTTGCAATACAGCCTTTTAAACTTGCCGGGGCAGTCACAAGCACCTCTCACGGCTCTGCCCCTCCGTTTCTCTTGCTTTCAGTTACATCACGCTGGCTGTGAACGCAAATGCTCTGTAGAAACGCATTGGCCTAGTACTTTATGTCCCTCTCTGCTATTATAGTTTTTCAAGATGGCAGAACTACATGGAAGCCTCCGTGGACCTACCCGTCCCATGTATATAAAGATAATAAATTCTTCGTTTACGAGGATAAGTCAGATAATTGGCAGAGGTATTTATACACCGTTGTACACCCTGTCTCTGGTCCAAGAAACTGAGATAGGCTCCAGACCTATGACCCTAGAAGGTCATATAAGGATCTATAGATGTCAATATATATTAGTACCTATATGCCATTTGCATTACAATTAAACCTTTACTGAAAACACCCAATCAATTGTAGATGATGATAATGGCGTTTGAAATCTGATGTTTTTATTTCAATTTGACAAAGTTATTAATTGGACCAAGTTTGATTTTAGCAGTGGGGAAAAAACAAGGATGAAAACCTTTTTTAGATCAATGAAAGCTGTCTCTGGACCCCATGTGGAGAAATTCTCCTTCCCTGCTTGAATGAGCTCTCTTCAAACTCATGATGTGTGTACTAATTTCTCTACATCCACATTTCAGAGGGTGCGCAACAAGCTCATCGCAGAGGAGCCCAGGGTGGAACAGCTAAAATCCCGGTTGAAAGAGCTATTCCGATTCCCACAAGATTCTAAAAACCTGTCTGATGAGGTGCTAGCTGTGGTAAAAGAATACCAGAGGTGAGCAGCAACCACACACGCACACCCAAAGAGCCTCCAGCAAAGGAGGAATGAGGCTAGGAGAAATACTTTGATGGATATTTTATTAATCATTAGCTATTGATGATGGGTGGTAAACATTCTGTCATGCAGACGCAACGGGAGGCTCGTCACATTCCCATTGTGTTACTGTCAATTGGGATGTCAGTCACACAGGTCTAGTCAGCCGTAAACAATGTGTATCCAGCGATAAAAGAGTGCTAATGTAAGCACTTCAAACAATCAGTGCATTACACACAGGGTTTACTGCATTTGTTTATGCATTTGTTTTGTGGCAGCCATCTGTTGAAAGCCTATGAGCTCATACTGTAAAGGACTTCTCAGTAGAGTTGTTTTGTGTTTCCTGTGACAGTGTGAAAGGCAGATCTTTCAGGCTGTCCTCTGAAAGCGAGACTGCTCTCCAGCAGATACTGCAGGACCCTCTGTATGGCTTCAGTCAGTGGAGTCAGGTGGTTTCTCAGGTACTGGAGGCTTCCGCCGAGGTGACGGAGTTCTCCCACATCGCTCTGCTCGTGCAGAATATAGAGGTACAGTTTTCTTGGAAAAGCATGTGAGCGTGTGGTGTAAAAATGTGTCCCTCCAGATACATTTCTGTTCAAATGTTTGGGGTCAATAAGATTTTTTTTTTCTTGAGAAATGCATCCTTTTATTCAGCAAGGATGTATTCAAACTTTTACACTAGTCGGGCCCATTCCAAAAATGTAAAATTAATTCATTCATTTAAATTAAATGCATATATAACAAAAAATGTATATGTTTTTTTAATTTGTAATAATAGCTGGAAACTACAGTATATTGTTATGTAACTCTATTGCTATTAATCCAAAAACGTGCTTGCTCAGATATTATCGCTTATGGCGCAAAATACTTTATAATTGATTTATATTTTTAGAAATGTTTTTTTAAGGGTTATCTTACGTAATTCTTGCCATTAAGACAAAACCATTTATGTTAGCCAGCTAAATAAGATTACGGAGTGATGTAGTTTTTGTTGAAAACACCTGAGAACACCACATGCAGAGAGATTTGAGCATTGTTGAAGTTTTTTTTTTTTTTTTTTTGTATTGAAGATTTTTTTTAGTCTGAATGATGCAGTGTTTTCCCATTCAGTACTTTTGGTAGTACCCGATTTAAACTTTGTTTTTGAAAGAATAAAGGGTACAAATCCAGTTTATGCCACAATCTGTTGAGGATATGATCATATTGTATTTAAGCATTTACAGTGATTTTTGCGTTCATCTTGGCACCTTAATTCGGTGTTGATGCTTTGTTCTCTTTGAAGTTATTGAGTGTGCTCTTTCTTCTTTTGTTTTGTTCTTTGTAGAAGTTACTTAAAAACAGCGTGCAACTCCAGGAGCGCTTGAGTTTGCTCCAGGTGAAGAGTGATCTGCTCAGCTCTGTTTTTGGCCAAGAGAAAGCTGTTGATCTGTTGGAAGAGCTCAGCGGGGATATGAGGAAGAGAGAGTTACTCCACAGCCAGCTCCAACAGCGCAAGAACCGCCTGCAGGTACACCAAGAGCCAGAGCTCAAAATGTTATTGCTGTATACAGACTGTAAATGCCTGAGCTACATCAACAGTCTTTACCCCCGCCATTAGCCATAACATGCATAGTCTTACATAACAGAAAATATGGTCAGTCACAGCTTATCATATCTGGCTGAAAAAACAAGAAGCCTTGTTTGTTAGTATGTAGGCAGATAAAGTTGTTAATGCATATTTTATAAAGTTATTTACCTTTTAAATAAAGAGGAATTTTTTTATTGGTATTTAACAATTTCTACAGCAATTAAAAAAGTTGTATTGAATACAAACATAGATCAAATTAAAAAGATAAAAAACAGCAAAAAACAAAACAATAAATGGATATGTTTAATATGTTAATTATAAAACTATGGAGGAAATGATAAAGTACAAACAAATGTCTAATATATATATATATATATATATACAGTACTGTGCAAAAGTCTTTTGCGTATATTCCATGGAAGATAATTTTATTCAATTATTATTATTCCAAATCACTTTTTTTGTTTTCTTTTTTATTAAAATATTGTCTTAGTATTATTTATATATATTCTAGTATTATATTATGTCTGCATCCCTTTTTTAAATGATGCGCCATTTTGTTGGTGAATATAAATCGAATAATATATGTTATCCTATGTACACTCTCAGGGTTTGATATCAAAGACGAAGGACTTTTCAGATGCCTATGAATCCATCCATAAAAAACTGACCTTCATAAAGGAACGGTTTGTCAAGACGGGTGAACTTCAACCTGACATTCTAGCCAAGAAGAGCCAGGCCGATCAACTCCGGGTGAGCAGCAGAGAAAATAGAAGCGTAAAGCTGTTTCAGACTTCAAAAAAAGTTTGCTTTTTGAATTTCTTTTTAAACAGCTGTTTTGGTTTTAATCTCTGCATGTGGTAAGCTGTAGACGTACAGTGACTTTTGATTTGATCATCTTTCAAGAACAGACTAAAAGAGTCATGTGAATAATTTAAGGAGCTAGGAGTAATGTCACACTGAGCTCAATGTGTTTGCGCTGGTTGATCAGAGTGGCTTGTCCAGGTGGGAGCGGGAAAGACTCGCTAGAGGCAGACTGAATGTTAAATGAGTGTGCATCTATCTACAGGTCATTAGAAAGGACTTGGAAGATTGTAAAGCCCATATCATAGCTCTGGAGACGCTGGTGTCATCCAACCCTGCAAACAGGACAAAGTTTGAGCGTCTGTATGCCCACTGGAATGTGCTTTATAATGAAGTTCGGGTAAGATCTGTTCTGTTTGAGGTTTTTTGGTTTTCCTCCATATGATATCACCCCCAAAGATGAATGTTCAGTATCATTACTCCAGTCTTCAGTGTCACATGATCCTTCAGAAATCATTCTAATATGCTGATTGGGTGCTCAAGGACGCTTAATATTTTTGTGAAAACATGATAATTTTTTTCTTTCGTAAATAGAAAGTTCAAAAGAACAGCATTCAATGTTTTTTTTTTTTTGTGGAATTTAAAAAAATATGTCTATAGATCTTCTCAGACTGCAATCTATTGAAAATGATATCATATTTTATCATATTATCATACTCGCACATCTCACTCGCAACTATACAGAAACTGTATGGGCACAATTTCTCGTTATATCATGTCCCCAGACATCTGTAATACAAAACAAAACCTGTAGAAAGAATTTTACTGCAAATGTGGCAAATTTAGCTATGAAGTTATGAATACACATAAGCTCAAATTAGATTTTAGAGCTGTTGCAAAAGGAAGATTTTTAATTTAAGTTAATTCATTTTCTTCCTTGGTGAACTATTCCTTTTATTCCTCAAGTTTTTTTTTTTTTTTTTTGCATGGTTAATTGATAGAAATACGTACATATATTTTTACTAAGCACTTCAAAAATGCCCAACTTCACAAGTGATTCTGATTTAACCCTGAAGATCTGTGGAAACTGCTGAGATCACACCCCGGTTTCCATACCTCCTGCTGTGTGTTGATCATGATGGTGATGAAGGCCTTGATCAAACCTCCTTCCTTTTTTTCAGTTTATATATATATATTTTTATATATATAACAGATACCAGAATTTATTGCACGAAAATCCTTCTCAAGTCTGTTCAGCTTCATAGTGCAATGTATGTGTGTATTCACATGAATGCACTTTCTTGTTCATACCAGATGAAGGTGAATGAAAGTGAGAAGAGCATTGCAGAACATGAGAGTTTACATGAAAATATTCTGAATTTGGAGAAGTGGTTGATGATCATGAGACAGAAGCTGGAGTCGTTTCGTGGATCAGATGGGGAATGGAGCATCGATAACCGCCAGCATGAGGCTGAGGTACGCCTATGTGCTACACTTTAGCTTAGTTACTACAGTTAAAGGAGTAGTTCACTTTTTAAAAAAAAAAAAACTTTTCCTAATTTACTCACCCCCATGTCATCCAAGATGTCCATGTCTTTCTTTCTTCATTTGAAAAGAAATTTAAGGTTTTTGATGAAAACATCTCAGGATTTTCTCCATATAATGGACTTCATTGGGAACCAAACGGTTCAAGGTCCAAATGAGAGTTTCGGTGCAGTTTCAAAGGGCTTTAAATGACACCAGACGATGAATAAGGGTCTTATGTAGGACCCTTCGAGTCATGACTCGAAAAAAGATTTGTTAATTTTGATGAACGAGTTTGAACAGGAGAGTCACAAATGCTCATCACAGAACAGAGCAAGGTGAGCATTTGTGCTTATAAAACGTAAACTTTGTTATTTATTTTTGAAATGACCGATCGTTTCGCTAGATAAGACCCTTATTCATCGTCTGGTGTCGTTTAATGCCCTTTGAAGCTGCACTGAAACTCTCATTTGGAACTTGAAAAGTTGGAACTAGTTTGGTTCCCAATGAAGTCCATTATATGAAAAAAAAACTTCATTTATTTTCGACTGAAGAAAGAAAGACATAGACATCTTAGATGACATGGGGGTGAGTAAATTATCAGCAAAAGTTTTTTTTAAAGTGAACTACTCCTATAATGTTGCTTTTATTAAGAAGATTACATGAAATAAACATGAAAAAGCTTCTGAAATCTTTTACGATGCTTGAAGGATCTCATTTAAATGTATAATGGTATTACTATTAGCGTTTTCTTTTATTTAAATAAATGATTAATCTGTTGATTTATTTCGTTTAGTAATCTGAATAAAGAAGCCAAACATTTTTGGAAAAGCATTTTGTTATAAAGAATGATATTCCACAACACCTTTCAAACAATGTCCAAACTAAAGGCTTTGATTGTTGGCACATGAATGTTTGCCTGTGCATGCATGACTCAATCTTGTGCCACTGTTGTTGTCCCCTAGAGGGCGCTTGGAGAGTTTCCAGAGAAGGAATTTCAGCTTAATCAGACGGAAGCTGAAGGTCACACCGTTCTGGCCAAAACCTCGGAGAAAGGCAAAGTTCACATCGTTCAGGACCTTAAACGCCTTCGAGAGTCCTGGACGTCCCTCCACACGCTTAGTCTCAATCTTTACAGGTTAGGAGTAATGCTTTCAGGGTGTTGATGGTATTAAATGGACAGAAACTATGACTCAAGAAGCATCATTGATACTGTTTTCTATGACCTGTTTTAAAAACATAATAATAGGAATTCCAAAGGGCATGTTTCACATTCTGTTTTAATTGCAACCAGTTCACCCACCTATGTTAATAATCTCAATTATTGTTGATTGCTATGTGAATCAGTTCTGTGTTTACTAGAATGTAGCATTACCTATTTAGCTTTTTATTTTATAGGTGAAATGTGAAATCTTTTCAATTTGTTAAAATACTGATCCAATTTAATTTTTTTTACCTGATTAATTGCCAACATGGCCAATCGTTTTATCACCACTGATAATAAATTCAATTAAAAGGGGAATTTTTGACAACATAATTATTACTTTCACCGTCACTTGTTAGGCTTCTAAATGGACATGCTGCCACAGGCGACCATGACTCCCTATCACAGAAAACAGAGTTCCTGCTGGACAGAAGGGCAGACGGGGATCACCAGGACACTTCTTCAGGCTTTGAAGTGGGAATTGACACTGGTGACAAAGGACTGGAATGGCACATGCACAGATCTGAATCAACAGATCACCCAGAGCCGGAGAGGAACATTGTCATCTCTGAGGGCATTGTAAGACCTGAACGTTCAGAGGTCGGGAGAAGAGAGAGGAGTTACCGAGACCAATCCATGGATGATGAGATAGATGCAGTCATGCCTGCAAGTGACCGTCTTGTGAACAGAAAGCAGATAGTGGTAAAAGACTCTTACGAAGATGACTTGCTTAGGAGCGGTGGTCGGACTGGTGAATGGGTTGAGGAACACACAGGCAGTTCTGGGATTAAAGACCTGGATATGCAAGGCAAATATAGCTTTTCCTATGATGCACAGAGAGTGGTGCAGCTGTCACAGATCCCACCTGATGAGACCAGTGCTGCTTATCAGGTTAGAATGATTCAAATATAATTCTTGTTACTCCTACTGGCACTATTTGGGCAGGCATTATATCAAAAACGTGCAATATATTTATAGTGACTTTTGCATGCGATATAAGAAAATAAGAGTGAAATTTGCAGTCATTTTATTTATTGTCGATTCATGCATTTTTCATGGGCTGTTTTAAGTTAGCAGTTTGGTAATTCGCTGTTGTACTGGTACATGTACACTATTGTTTATTGAACTAAAAGTTTGGGGTCAGTAAATAACATTTTAAAAATTAAATTTAATTAAGTTTTAGTATTATTAAAATTTAAAAGTAGTCATTTATTTTTTTTTTAATAATTATTGATTATAGGAGTGTTCATTGTATTTTTGACTGAATAAATGCAGCTTTTGTGAGCATGAGATACTCAAACCATACCAACTCCAAACTTTTGAATGGTACAGTAAATGAAAATGGTCTTTTCCTCTTGTTAATTTAGAAGTGAACAATGTTTTTTAAAAAAACATGTGGAAAACATGCCTTCATTATTTTAAATTGGGGTAAAAAGTTTTTTTTATGTAATTTACCTTACATTAAAAAACATTTTGAGCCATACCCTGGCACCACTGGCTGTTTGGTCAAAATGTAACTTTGAAGCGGGAATAAGCCTTTTAATTATTTTAGAGCAAATGCATTTAAAGAGATATATCATCAAAAGAACTAAGAATATATCATGATAATTTTTTTAGTTAGATGACTCAGCCCTCAAGCCACTATTAAGCATGCAATACGTAGGCTATAATAATAAACGGACAGAGGGATGTCTTTTTCCATTTCTCCTGTAGATGGGCTCTCAGGGGCCCCAGCGTCATGCTGATCTGGAGGCCCAGAGGAGGGAGTTTGAAGCGTGGCTTCACAAGGAAAATGAAAAACTCACAGGAATTCTGAACAACCAAAGATCCCTGAGCCCTAAAGAACTGAGGATAAGACAGAATACACTCAAGGTTGGTAGTGTTTATTAATATTTTTTGCTTTCTTTTTATCTGTTTTTGATTAAAGTTTCACGAAGAGTCTAAAATATCAAAAAGTGTTAGAGTGAAAAACAATATTTGATAGCTTAGATATCTTATTCAACAAAGCGCAGTGTGATATTTTACTTTGGTCTCACAGAATATGCTGGATTATTTTCTATATGTGAAGCTACATGTTTGTGAGAGTCTGGTGTGCTGTGTAGTGTAGTGTAATGTACGTTTTCTTTCAGTGCGAATGTAAGCTTTAAAAGGCTTGTGCTCAGTTTGTTACCCCAGGCTTGGAAAAATTCGAACTTCACAAATACCTGGAAGCTGTCATATTTGATGATTTTTAGCCTGACAACTACTGTGCCACATTGACTTTTTTCTTTGTTCAGTGACAGCTCATATTTGGAAAAGCTCTTGAATGGCAAGTCATAGGTGGTCTTCCTGTTGAATAATACCTTGAAACAACATCAAACAACTTCTGCAGATTGTGCTATGGGAAGAAGCCACATTGAGATTGTTTTCAATTATTTAAATATCCACTACATCTGATCTGACAAAGTGCCCAGATACTTCAATACTAAGATCTGACTTGATGTTAGTAGAAACCGCTTCCTCCTCCATTAGTTACTGTTTGCTAAGCAGACACAGAACGTCTTATAGGAATAACTTGGACATTATCAGGATTATGTGGTCATAAAGTGTTAAAAAGGGATTGGATATTATTCCTATGTGGACTGAAATTAATTGACACATTGCAAAGAATTGTATCAGCCATTTGCTGACTTTTCCTTCTTACTTGTTTCATTGTTATTAAGTGCCTGAAGTAACAATATTTCAGATATTACTGTAAAATTGTATACAAATGCACACACAGGATTTCCATGTACATTGCCGTTCAAATGTTTTGGTGTCAGGAAGATTAAGTCTTCACTCACTTCAATTGAATGCATTAAGACTTTTATTTAGCAAGTATGCATTCAATTGAAGTGAGTGAAGACTTAATTGTTTCAAAAGATTTCCATTTAAAGTAAATGCTGGTCTGTTTAGTGTTTAACTTTTATCGAAAGAAACTACTAAAATGTATAACAAAAATATTAAGCAGCAAAACTGTTTTCAGTATTGATGATGATAAATGTTTCTTGAGCAGCAAATCAGCATATTAGAATGATTTCTAAAAGATTATATAACACTGAAGACTGAAGTAATGATGCTTGCCCCAGCATGGGAATAAATTGGATTTTAAATATATTAAAACAGATATATTAAACTGTAATTAAGTATCTGTTTTACTTTTTTCTTTTTCCTTTTTTTTTATAAATAAAAGCTGCTATAAGAGACTTAAAAAACTTTTTTTTTTTTAAACGGACTGACAACACTTTTAACTGGTGATTATAGTTGGCAAGATGCTAAGAATTGGTTGGTAAAAAATAATAAAAATAAAGGGTCAATTTTGGATTTAAAATAATTGGATGATGATTCAATTATGAGCACAAATCTTTAATAGCCACACCCACACAAACCCTTACTAGTAACTCTGTCTTGATATCTGTATAGGGTTTACGTGCTGGTGTAGCCTGGGGTCAGAGTCAGTTCACAAAACTGATGTCTGGTCAGCAGAGTAAGTCAGCGGAGGTGGACACAGAGCTAGAAGAGCTGCGTTATTGCTGGATGTTATACAAATCCAAACTTCAAGAGGCTGGTGACCTCAAAGGTCTGCTCAAACACAAGGTATGAAGAAAAAAATATTTTCCATTTATATTAAATTACATTCATTTATGTTTTTTTGTGAAATTAAAATATAATTATTATTCAACTTTTCCTCAAGAACCGATTGTCTAGCTATTTTTCTTTACATTCATACATATTTTTACTTGTGCCATGAATACATGTTTTAACCTGAAACCATCATTTTGAAAAATGAAGTGAACATTTTTTTTAATATGATAAATACCAGGAAAAAGTCATATATCATCTACTAAGATGTTGGTGTAGTATCACGTGTCCACCAGTAGGGAGCAGCAGCTTTTAGCAAAATCTAACTAAAAGCAAATTTGTTTCTGTTTGTTTCAGGGTGTCAGTGGGCAACAACAGGAGCTTGTCCGAGCTGGAAAGGTAGGTTTTATTCATTATACATACGTCTTGATGTTGTGTGAGTGGGCTTGTGTGTAAAGTGGGTTTCAAAAATCTCTCTGATATAACAGTGAAGTATGTTTGAACACTCTTTGAAAAGAAAGTATTCCCTTTTAAGGTTAGAACAGAATTGAATGCGGTGTTTACTTATTGACACAACTGGGGCTGTTTGTTTCTGCAGTGCAATTTCACTGTGTTATGTTGTCATGTGATTTATAGCTGCAAATTGATTTAATGTAATATATTGTTGTGATATTTTTGTGTGGAACACCCATATTTTATGACCAAATCAATTTCTGATGGCCAAAAAATATATATTGTTATAGCATTTCACAACAAAGTCCTTTTACAGAAAAAATTGCAGCTCATTTAGCATTTCAAATAAACTTATATATATGAAATATGTCACATTACGGAAGTAAAATGGGATGGGAATGCGGTTTCATGTTGACTTAAAAAGTTTGTAAGCACTCTGAAGTGAAGTGGGACACTGTTCGGCTGGATTAGTAGGAGGTCTTTGAAATAGAGGCACATGAATAGCATCTTGAAAGCCTGAACCAAAGCACTGTTTTAGCCCCCAAAGACAAATGCTATTTTTTGGCTCCGTGGGCCGCTTAGAAACATCAAGGCAGTTGCTCCGCTGCATCTCTCTGGGGAGTGTGTTAACCTTTCTGAGTAATTTCTCAAATTTATCGTGTTCACACATTTTTTAGCACCTCTTTTCCCACTCTCTGGCCATCTGTTCATGAGCGGTCATGTCTTCTTGAGAAGAGGCCTGCTGGTGCCCTGCTGATTGCATACGAAAGGCTGCTCCGATAGGCCTGCTTTATTTACATAAGCGGATATTAGTGGATATAGATAGAAATGTTGTTTTGCACATGCAGCATTACCTTCCAATTACCAAGGCTATTCACAGATGCTCTGGTTGAGCTAGTTTTGCAAAATATGCACACACACAAAAAAACTTTTGAATCATAATGAAATGGGGCACCCAAACATAATGCCAATGAATTAGGAGGGTTTTGTTTGTTTGTTTCTGATCTGGATGCTTCATTATCATTTACTGAGTGTTATCAGAGTGATGTGATTTAAGTCACAGTGGTCAGTTGGCTAATTGATTTATGTATTTTTATTGAAATATTTTCTATAAATTAAATGTATATTTTATTTATATTGATTAAACTTTATATTTAATATATACTGTATTGGTTTTAATTATTTATGTATGTATATGTGTGTGTGTGTCTATATATATATATATATATATATATATATAGTGCAAATATTAATTGCGATTAATTGCATCCAAAATAAAAGTTTGTGTTTACATAATATATGTGTGTGTGCTGTTTATAATTATTTTGAATACATAAACACATATGCATGTATGTATATATTTAAGAATTATTTGCATGTAAATACTTTGTGTGTGTGTGTGTGTGTATATATATATATATATAAATCTATATTAAATATAAATATTTTATATATGAATAACACATTTTCTTAAATATATACATGTATGTGTGTGTTTATATATACAAAATAATTATACACCGCACACACAAATATATTATGTATACACAAACTTTTATTTTGGATGCGATTAATTGCAATTAATCTTTGCACAGCCCTTATATATATATATATATATATATATATGAAGAGTTCAGATGCAAAAGCCTCTAAATGCCATTTGAAATTTTCTTCAAGAATGTAAATTTTTATCAAGCTTGTATATTTAAGTTCAGTAATTTCACTTAAATGGCAATGAAGATTACCTATGAATTGCCATTTAAGTGAAATTACTGGATTTAAATATACAAGCCTGATAAAAAATTATTCTAGAAGAGAATTTCAAATGGCACTTAGAGGCTTTTGCATCTGAACTCTTCATATATATATATATATATATATATATATATAAACACAGTGCTAAAGTGCTTTTTATAATGCATATTGATCACCACGTCTTTAAGATTTCCTTTTAAGCAGTATTGTATGTACATAAAATGAGTTTTTTATGTCCAATTAGTTAACTAATCTTTCGCAACCAATCATCTATTTATGTCTCCTAATTTTAACCAACCATTCCAGAACATATTTTTCTATTGGCTGTATTTTCCCATTGCAAACATGTTTAAAGCTGCTCATTAACGCATTACAAGACCACACAAGCAAATGTTGCTCACCTGAACCTCAGCGTCTGACTCTGTTGTGGAAACCGCCACCTTCTGCTGTCATTATCATGCAGGATAAATAAATGCACACTCTGATCTTCTCCATCACTGACCAAATACAATCCATCTTTTGAAGATGTCAGTGAGGTAATCTTTCTGCCACTGATTACAGGCTCTTCACATAGAATAAATAGTTATGTGTTGTGATAAAGTATATTTTCCTATTGTATAATTATCAAGCCAGAACGATAGGATGATTGGATGATGTGTATCTGTAAGGACATTATGCAAGGCCTGAGCACTGCTGCAATTACCTTCCAGTGTAATTATATTTTCCTCAATAAAGGGCTAACAAGAGAGAAAAAGAGTGGAAAGAGTTTTCTGCTTTTCATCCACCCACATTTCCTCCTCCTCACTTCCTCGTACTTCTGCACTGCACTCTCTCTCAAACGCATAGTAAAAGTTCCCATGTTCCTCAGCTTTGCTACAGAGGCGTTAAATAGAAAGGGTCATATTAAGTTCAGATATGTCACAGTCCGGCGCTCAGAGCGATGGTGGTTGTTGAGCTGCTGTAGGTGGATATTCACTCCCACAATTCCACAGGAGCTTGAAAAACTTCCCTGTGCATTTTATCAGGTACACATTTTTTATTTTATTTTTTCGCCATCTAGGCAAAAAACTTCCATCATTGTTACGTTTTTATCAGATGTATATTGAATGAGAGATGTCAAGTCACAAGCCAAGAGTTATCTTTTTATCAAAGAGTTTTCTTTTTTGTAATCTGACGACTTTGAGGACTTATATGAGATTTATGAGGATTTTTTTTCTGCCCTTTCATCATCCACCAGGAGAAAAGTATAAGTCTTATAGCTTATAAGAGTAATAGTTCTTTTTTATGTGATGATAATAACTTCTAAAACTTCTAAAACTAATTTGAGTTCATCTTGTGTACACATTTCTGTAATAAACCCTAGTACTATTGAGTCACCAACATTTTTAGGTATCATAAGACTACATATACCAATGTTCTGAGATGTGCGCTTGGGACTGCATATCTGCATTGGCTGGACCGACCAGAAATATACAATTTTTAATGCAATTTGTGGATAAGAAACAACATTTATTGAACAGTTAATGTCAGGTTCTATTGCCGGTTTATTATACGTTATTTAAATGAAAGTTCGGCCATCGGGTTTTGAAATTTCAGTTTTTCCCTATTTGAGTAAATAGGTGTTGGCCTGCATGTCCAAAGTGAATAAACAAATCTATAATTTTAAAGTAACATTTCAAAAATGCTTTATAAATAATGCAATCCTAGAAAGCACTGCAACTAGTTAAGTGAAGGTTTTGTATAAGAAGGGAAAGGGTTTATTTTTTTTTACTGAAAAGCATCAGTAGAAAATTCTTGAATGTAATAAAAAAAATGTTATGTATCTCTTTTATATGTATTTTTCTCCACGTATTCCCAAGTCTTTTTGTCAGCGAACCCATTTTGTCCTATAACATTTTCTTCAAGAACCCCCTGAGATTTAAAATATTTCAACAATTTAACATGTTCTTTGATGCCGCTTAAAGTTCACATGACGTGGGTAAACAAAATACTTAAAAATATATATATCTTTTAAATATTTCCCTTTTGTAGTGTTTTATTTTGATTTTAAAAATGTATTTATTTTAAATTTGTATGATTTAACTAATTAAGCTTTTCATCAATCACTTATTTGAAATCAGTCACAGTAGAGGACGTTTCCTTATGTGTAATTCACTCTGACGGTGTTGTGCAGTGACTGCAAGTCATTCATTTTCAATGAGAGTTAGCGATTTGTTACAGCAAAGTTGAGTAGACTACAGTGAAACAGTAACTACTGTGAAACGCTGTAGTCATTTGAACGCACAGCATGTAACAGCATCTGTTGGATGTGTGTTTTGCAGACGAACAGCGGTCTGGGATTCTTGTACCGTGTGTGTCGTGTGGCTCTTCCTCTCCAGCTCCTGCTGTTGGCTCTTCTGCTGCTGGCCTTCCTGCTGCCCATGATGGACGAGGGCACTAGCTGTTCACTGTCCAACAACTTCGCCCGCTCCTTCAACATCATGCTCCGCTACGACGGACCTCCGCCCACTTAAGCGTTGACAGTCCAAAGCAGCTTTTTTAAATGCGCCAATCTGCTATCGTGTTCATGTAACAAAACTTCTATTTTTTATCAATGTTCTGTTAACGCTTTAAGTCATTTTATTTTTAGTTGGTGGATGCAGCAGATCAGAAACTGTGTTTGTGTGAGAGAGAGTGAAAGTGTGAGTGGGTGGATGGCAGAGATGCTCACAACCTGCTCAACATGATTCAAGCTGTTCATTTCTCTACAGGCTTTAGAGAAACCAATGCAGCCTTTACAAAGAGCAAAACTCCCTTAAAGACATCTACTCAGGAGCCATCGCACATTTCTTGTGTTTTTAGGTTTGTTGTATGTTATTGCTAGTTTCTAAATGTTAAAGGGATAGTTTGCACACACAAAAATACAATTCTGTCATCATATACTCACCGTCATGTCCAAACCGGTTTTACTTCCTTTCTTTTGAGAGATTTTTTATTATTATTATTTTTAAGTCAATAGGGTCCAATCATGTCGTTTTGGACCCCATTGGTGTTCTTTAAATGGATAAAAACAGTTCAAACAGTTTCTGAGTAAATGATGGCAGAATTTTTGGATGAACTATCCCTTTAAATAATTTTACTGTGGTATGTCTTATATTTAAACAGAATTGTGCATGTTTTATTCATATGTCTTGTTTATATTCTGTTGTTTGCTATTTTACTCAGGCCACTCAGAAACTGAACTGGGTTTAATAATAGGATTTAACTTATCATTGTGTTGCGAGGATTGGTTCTGATGTCATTGAGTAGATAAGACTGTAAATATTTCAAAACTAAGCTAAGTTGTTCATATGTTGGTGAGCTTTAGAAGAGGAAATGGTCAATCAGACATTCCTCTATCACTCAAAGCAAAGGTGCTATGCTCATGCGTTCGTATACTGTAATACACAGTTTTCCTTTAACGGTTTTTGGAAATTGAGATTGCAGAATCACATTGTTGGACTTGACTGAGTTTTGGCATTGGCTTGCCTCTGATTGTTGTTCTAGGTTAGTGTGTTTTTTCTGGCATAGATTAGGGTGTAAAAATAGCTCTGTTTGGGGAGAATGGCCTTTTTTGAACACAATTTTGGAACTCTGACCTTCTTGGGCTTTTTTTGCAAGTCTCAGAAGGGCCCAAAACTATCAGAAGTTAAGTTCAGCTATTCTTTTTTAAGACGGCTTCTTTAATGTCATGGTTTGATGAAAGAAATGCCTTGATTTTATTTTTTTGGTCCAGAACGAAGGCTGCTTTGCCTTTCAAAGCTGGCTTTTTGCAGTGTGAGACATTATTTAGAGGCTAATTGCATGGCTTTTCAGCTTTAAGTAGTATTACAATCACACAACGCACTGAACTGCTTTAATCCTGTATCAAAATGCCATTTTAAAATCATATTCAGACCTCTCTGCTATGCTAAAACTGTAATATGCGTTAATATGTGATGCACTATCTAATGTTAAATGCATGAATAGTAGTCTGAAAGAGACTTAACATTAAAATATGCTGCATTTTCTAAAAAGAAACCGAAATATTGAAGCTCAGCGCTTCAGTTTATTGCACTGCTTTATTGTTTGTATTTAATCTCGTTTTATGCCAATGCAAGCCGTTTGATGATGTATACAGGTCTCATCAATGACACTGTGATTCATTAGGCTGCAAATGCTAAACTGTACTAAATGGTTCAACTGTTTTTCAAGATCATTAAACATATGCTAATAGAGCTAGTTTACAGCACTGTGTGCATGGAAGAATTTTCTCATTGGAGAAATCTTTGATTTGGGAAGAAAATATTGGAAATTATTTTCAAAGACAGCTAACAAAATTTGAAGCATGTAGAAATTACAACATTATGCATGAAAGGTTGCAAGACAATGTTATTAACAAAAGTTCAACATTTATTTTATTACTATATTTTGAATTAAACTCATATAATGTATCTTTAAACTGACAAATATATAAAGTAAAAAACAACAACTATAACCAGTATTTTTGTATTGTACTCCAGGCAATAAACATGCAGTGCATTTTTGGTGCTGTTTGTGTCTCTTTTGTTGCTATGGACTTGAGATTGAATAGATAAATGTGTGACTCAATATCAAGACTCCCATTCAGAAAGTCTTGTAGCACGAAACATGCATTAAACCAAAAGCTGAACTGGTCTGACGAGATGTGCAATGATAACAAAACACAAAACCAGCCTGCTGGTGTGACAAAACATCACGCAATAGCGCATAGCAAGGTCTTCTCCGGCTATATAGCGGACATGTAAGGTCCTGAGGTCAGCGTGAGGTTACTTGATGATCTATGTATGATTTGATTTGCTTCAAAGCTAATATTTTACTGTAAAAAAAATATTTTCATGATTTGTAATCACAACATTTTTTCTTTTGTCAAATCAACTTATAATTAATGTAGTTCAGATAACATAATATTTTGAGTTTCTGGTGATTAAATTAACTAATTTTTTCCATTTCAATGAACTTAAAATTTTAAGGCAACCAGGTTACTAATTTTTCCAAATTAAACCAACAATATTATTTTACAGTGTGCAAGAAAGGCTATGGTTACGGAAATGCGCATTTGAGTGTTAATTTGCATGGATTTGTCATGGCTTGCCAAGTAACCATGTGTGTGGTTCTCTGCCTATTCCATTTACATTTAATTTAGGTCACCAGCTGTAAAGAAAAAAGATTGAATTTTAAATATCACAATTTAAAATTCAACATTAGAATAAGTAATGTGTTGTTTCAACTTAAAGTACTTGTTTGTGCTTGACTTAAAATATTAAGTTTAGTTAACTTTAGTTGAGTCAAGTTATCTCAACAAATTTTAAGTTAAGAATTGCAGCTACACTGTAAAAAAATATTATTGGTTTAACTTAAAGTAAGTAACCTGGTTGACTTAAATTTTTAAGTTGATTGAACTGGAAAAGTGAGATAATACAATGAAGGAGATTAATTTAATCTTCAAAAACTCAAGATAATAAGTTATCTCAACTAAATGAATTATTTAAGTTGATTTGACAAAAGAAAATATGTTGTGATTACAAATCTTGAAAATATTTTTTTACAGTGTACATTTTTGCACAGCACTCTCAGAACAACTATTGGTAAAACAATATCAGACTGCACAGATACACGTTTTGGTTAAACATTGGTAACGGAGTCCGTTTATTGACATTCGCTGTGTAGTCAGGTGGATGTTTGTCTTCGAGGTGTGTACGTGAACTATAAAGGCTATCTGGCATAAAGATACACTATGACTATGATGATTTTAATGCTAAAGCCCACTTGCTGAAAGCACACTCACTTGGCCTAATTCATACGAGTGGGAAAGAGTTGGATCTATTCTACACACTCACCCACATGATTTCACACTGCCGTTTCCTTCCTGCGTAGCAATGAGCAGATATTTCTCTGGCGTGAAAATGTCATCTCAGTGCAATCCAAATCATGTTTGGTTGCCGATACCCAAATATTTATGGAGCAAGGAACCAGTTTGAGGGACTACATTAGACATTAGCCATTCAGGTGAAAGTAATGGGGTCTGAATAATACAGTGATCTTTTACCCAGATTCATTTCATTGGAGCACGGCTGTGAAACATTAAAGTTTTTGTAGCTCTCCACCCTTTAAACGCTGAAACATTAACCAAAAACCAGCGCAAAAGTGCCCTTTATCTGCAAAACAAGAGGTGACTCGGTTTGAAACCTTGTAAAGGTACACTGTAAAAAAAATATTGTTGGTTCAACGTAAAAAATGAAGTAACCTGGTTGCCTTAAAATGTTAAGTTAATTGAAATGGGAACATTCAGTTAATACAATGAAGGAGATTGATTTAATCATCAGAAACTCAAAATATTATGTTATCTGAACTACATAAATTATTTAAGTTGATTTGACAAAAGAAAAAAAATGTTGTGATTAAAAATCACGAAAATATATATTTTTTTTTACAGTGGGCTTTACACCAGTGTTGTTATTGTTAACTAGAACTAGATTAGATGAAAAAGTTGTAGTACTAAAATTGTTAAAACTAAGTTAGAACTAAAGATAAACAGAAATGTAATTCAAATGTTAATAAAAACTATATGAGTAAATAAATAAAACTAAAGTAACACCGCTTTACATAAACACTGACCCACCAATCTAGAGTTATAACTTTGTTTATTCTGTTTTATTGGCATAGTGCTTCCACGTCCATTGAATAAATAAAGATGAACCACATGATGTGTATACGGAAATCTGCACTGTAATAGTAATAGAATTATCTAGACAGAAGACATTTAAGAGATTGAAGCTATGGTCACACTAGCTGGATGTGCTCTGTAATCAGATTTAGCCACTTAACTTTTGACCTATGAGTACAAGTTACACATTTGCTGGTTAAATGGGATATGAAAAACACACCAAGAGCTGGTCACATGATGAACTGCTGTTGTTGATGTGCCGGACATGACTCACGTCGCTTAAGACTGGGATTTTCTTGTTGCCTTAATACTGTGCCAAAGTCTGGATTTTTTTTTTTGCTTTGTGTGACTATAAAAGTCAAACAGCAATGTCACTTGAGCAAACTATTTCATTAATTAATCAGAACAAAAGGGTAATGTCATTGTGCACCTGGTCTGTTAAAGTGTGGAGGCTGAAGGAATCTAGTTTATTGCACTGGCTGGCCAGTGTCTCTGTAGTAAATATTTAATTCTGTGGCATGTTGCCATGGTAGCCAAGGCTTCCATGTCAAAGGTGCTTTCCTATGGGAAAGTCTTGTAAATGCAAATTGACAGCTCCAGAGAGAGAGAGAGAGGGAGAGGCTTCATTTGAAGAACAACCTTTTCTGGCTGTTGAATAAAGATGTCTACGAATGCAAATTATCTATTATATATCTAATTAAGTTTGGGTGTGTGTATGTGTATATTTCTGTCATGACAACTCTGAGTGATTGTCATGGTAATGAGTATGACAATATTGATATGTTTGGTCTTGGCGGATTTGATCTGCTATATGCTGCTGCAGGACAAGCTACTGCCAATACATACAAGAAACACAGTTGTGAGCCAGTAAGTGTATATGAATTACCAGTAGTAGATCTATATTGGTCTGAAAACACTCTGCACTGCTACTGCAAATGCTGACTAAGTATTTGAAGGCTTAGCAGCGAGCTCATTGGCTACTGATACAGCAGGAACCAATCAGCTGTGCCCTCAAGTAGATCGACTTTTTATTGTTAGTTCAAGTTAAAGTTAACAAATGGAACTTTATATTATTGTTACCACCACATGTTCTCTTACACTCACCTGTATGTATTTTATTAAAAAATACTAGTTATATTGTGAAATATTATTATAATTTAAAAGAAATGTTTTCTATGTTAAATATAATTTATTCCTGTGATGGTTAAGCTGAATTTTCATCATCATTACTCCAGTCTTCAGTGTCACATGATCCTTCAGAAATCGTTGGAATATGCTGATTTGCTGCTCAAGAAACATTTTTGATTATTATCAATGTTAAAATCAGTTGTTTTAATTGATGAAATCATTGGTAATATTATTATTTAATATTTATGAGACAAGAGTAGAGAGTAGCTGATTTGTACTCGGCTTTCGCCAAGATAAGCAAAACTAAGACGTTGCTTTACAGTAAACTGTGCTTCTCCATCCATTTATGCTTCTATCCATAAATGGGTGTGACTCCCCTTCTGTCCGGCATTAACGGCTGCAGTGTATTTGGCGCGTCAGCACACATGACGACTGCAACTACAGTGCGGTCTCCCCAGTGCACCACCACGACAACCGCCTGGATTGAGCAGAGTAGGGGACATCTCTAGGGTCTTCAAGTGGACACCTTCCGTCCTCAGTGTTTCGTCGACTAGCCCACGACACCTCACGTCCCAGAGTCACCCCCCTCCGTCCCCCACTCAACTCAGCCCATCTTACTGACCTTTACATCTCTCCTGCTGCTGAGGTTGCTCCTTCCTCGTAGTTCCCCTGTGACCCAACCACAATCTCTCTGCAACCCAACCATACGCGCCAACCCGTTTGACTACGGCTGTCGAGCCTCACTGTCTTCGTTAAAGTAGGTCCAGTGGCAACGGTTCCGTATGGCATAATACCTACCTCAAAACACAATATCTGCCCAAACACCAACCCTCATTCACGCAATATAGACAGGAACGTAATGACTGTAATTACTATGCAAATACAAATAAACCAACAGACTCAACCGTAGCGTGGCGGCCTGTACACAGCCAGCCAGAATCTTTCCGTCTCAGCCACAGCCAGTTGCTGCTCCTCTCTGCTGCTTCAGATAAGTTGATGATTCTTTACTGTGTGACGCAACTCTTGGCCACTCAATCCGACGGTTTTAGAGTGTGCCACAAATCCTCAACAACCACACTTCCATTGGATAAACCTGGACTTTCCATCCTCGCTGTTCTGCTTCAGTGGCCAGATGAGCATACTGCAGTTTCTTCCTCTCGTATGCCTCATCTACATCATTCTCCCATGGCACTGTTAACTCTTATCAGCTGAACAATGCAGATCCAGACCACAAAACCATATCTGGTCGTAGGTTAGTGGTAGCAATCTCAGGTGGAAAAATAAGCCGTTGATCAAGATCAGCCAGCATTTTCCAGTCCTCAGCAGCTTCCAGTTGTCCTGGGCAAGAATTGGTGTTAACACCTTTTCTTGGTAGTTGCTCGCCTGGGTGGAGGAATATTGTCTTCTGTGTGTAATGTTTTGTAGGTGGCAACTTATTGGTCATGTTGCGCTTGCCTTCCAATGCTAAAGCCAAACATCGCAGTACTTGGTCATGGCGCCAAGTAAACCGACCTTGGCTAAGAGCCACCTTCCATGCGTGCCTGTCCCACGATATCCCCAATTTGCAGGGCAGCCTTTGCCTCTGCCACAGATTTCTTTTCTGACCACTTCCTACCAGTTTTTAACACATGTGCTGCCTCCCTTACACATGTGTCGTGTGACTCTACGAAGGTCATTTCCAGTCTGACCTTGGCGCACTTAAACTCTCTTGGTTAAAGCAGAGACTGACAGCTGCAGTATTCCTTTACTATAAAGTCCCAACCATTTATGGATGTATGAACTTATTAACGCTTCCAGCTTATCCACTGTGCAACCTCGGCAGTAGACCAAACTGAAAGCACCAGATTTTAAGATTATACATGTTAAACATAAGACTTGCTTACACTAAATCTTTCAATTTGTCAGGACCATTTAAAGCAAGTAAACATGATAACTGTAATGAATGCATGATGACTTTAGAAATGGTGTAATGTAATAATCCTCAAAGCTTTACACCTGTATAAAGTCATCATCCACCTAGAACAGGCTCAACACTAAAACAATTTTGTAGAGAAATGTTGTTTTAAAGAATTTAATTACCACACATTTGTTGTTCAGAGCACCTGCTTTAATAAAAAAATATAACCTTAATTGGTTTTAAAACCTTCCAATCTAAGTCCATCAATGTAAACATGATTTTTATTTGCTTTTACAAACTAGAGACAAATCTAAATGATTTTCTGTCACAATTGACAGCACGTCACGGATGTGGTCGGTAATGTCTAAATTGGGTTATTTTTAGGTTGTCTACAAGCTAAGCACCAAGACAGGATATAAAATACCAGTTTTGTGTGTCTGTAGTGAGCAGCTGTAAAATTGAACTGTGTGTTTAGTGACAAGTGCATATTATTCAGACATAATTTACCAAGGGAAGAGCCTGTTATCATACGCTCTTTATTGCAGCTAGGCTACTGTAGTTGAATATTTTGTATGCCAGCAGTTGTTCATCAGAGCAGCACAGGCTGGGTTCAGTTGCGGTGACTGCAAACGGCTCAGGCTGACTGACCTGATATATGAAATCACCCTTTTAATTAAAGCTGGCTAAACCCAGCTTAATGATGCCTTTGTAGTGGTCTGTGAAGAGAGATACGTTGGGGCTGTGGGACACGCCCCTTTATGGTGTACTGAACCCAGTTAAAATTTCCCACTGATCTTCAGTTTTGGATCAGGTGCCAGATGGGGGGAAGTGATGTCACATAATTATGAAAAATGTGTGAAAATGAATGGATCAAGTATTGTGCTCGCCGTCGCTAACTCCGTGTTTCACAGAGGACAGATGGTCGGCACCAGTGTGTTGGCAGCATTAGCAGGGCACTTGTTCTGTAAAGCATAAAAAATAAATCCAATCAGTGCTAGTGCAGCAACTAGTGGCATCACATCAGAGCCTCGGGTCAATGCACAAGATACATAAAACAGCTGTGGCCCACATTAAAATAAGGTGAGTGTCAAGTCAAGCTGCAGAATCTCTGCCTAAATTAAATATAGATTTATGTGGTGTCAGTATTAATCAAAATTCAAAGCTCAGACATTCTTCCCTTGAGGTTTTAAAATAATTGTTTCCAATACTGATCAATACAGCAAACATTAATCCTACAATACCCACAACAACAAACCCACATGGCAATTCATAACTGTTTTGCGAATTGGTGGCTAATTCGTAGGATCTGATTTGTAAGTTTTCGTACAATATGCTTACGCCACACTGACAGTTAGGTTAGGTTAGGGTGGACCTTATTCTTTCTTTTTTCTAAAAAAAAAAAAAAAATCGTAGAAATCACATTGTACAGATTACTTAATCGTTGTTAAAATAGTTCAACCCTAAAACTCAAGGGGGCGATAGAGATGCATTTAAATTGGTAAAAATCGAGGGAACGAGTGTCTGTCCATATAACCTTCCCTCGTCCACTTCGCGAAGTGGAAAACACTTCAAAATGGCGCCAAGGATTCACTTGAGGGGAAGTGCGTGTCTAAAAGTGGATTGGAAAGCAGTCATGATGAGTTTACCTGTTCAGCTAATGACGTTTAGTCAGTCAAGTTTATGTAGAGTTTAATGTGGACACGTTCAAATACTTACATTTTTCATAAATAGACCAGTGAAATACAATTTAAAAAGGCAAGTCCTCAACACTATCAATGTAAATCAAAAGATTGTTTAATTATCTCAGATGAGGTTGGTTTTATAACCTGGTAAGCTTCATAATTGAGTTCCAGTGGTACATTAAAGATCACCAAAGACCCTATAACTTCTGTTCATATCCCCTATATCAACTTGTCATTGTTATCCAAGAGATTGACTGTCTGCAACTGCATCATACCATGAAGCCCTCAGGCTGCTGTAATTGAACCCGAGTCTCAACATGGCTTGCCGTGAATTGCACAGCATTCTTGTGTGGTTAAGGTGAGATATATAAACACAAACGAGTAGCCTATTATTATCCTGCCGTCCTAAAGATTACAAATTATTTTATTTCATTTCCAGGAAATATGGAAATTCTCAAGACAGTATCATATTCAACCTAACAGTTCAACAAATCAAATGCCTCTTGCATTACAATACTAAGGAGAATCTTTGGATTATCTTTGAATCTTTTGTTCCAGCTTCTGTTTGTGGGCGGTTTTTACTTCTCATCTTTTTCCCTGTTACACAACATCCGCCTCTGCCTGGAACAGATGGGTGAATGCTGCTGTCCATTGATCTTTATGAATATTCTGCATACTGACCCTCGGAGACATGTCGTCATAATTATTGCAATGCAAAATCAACAGAGCTGTGTTAGTCTCTTGCTCTCTAAGTTAGCAACAGCACTCTATTCACCAAGATAACACGTAAGATGTCTGCTAAGAGCGCTTTATTTGGAAAATTTCTGCTGTGTAAAAACATCTGATAAAAGTCTTAGGAAAAGCAGTTTTATTCATTCTAAATCATAAACATTTAAAAGACATTTTCAAAATGTCTATTTAACATTCAACAGGAAACATGCAGACATCAAATAGATGTCTCTGTGATGTTGGCCTATCAGTGCTCTTCTACATGAAACATTACAAGATTATTTAAAGACTTAAGACACAGTTAAGCTTTCACATTCACACAACTACTATTGAACTTAACATTCAATGTAAATATTAGGCTAAAGTGTTTATGTACGTTCATGTGTTTTTGGAAATGATAGCCTGGAATTTGGTCACGGTCACACTTGGCAACTCGGCTATAATTAAAGTTTAGAGTTGAGGCTAATGTTTGCTGATTAATCTGCTTTAGCTTCAATGGTTATTTCAGTAATTTCATGTTAACTCGTTTTTGTAAAATATTAAATTCATGACATTTCGAGATAAAACTAGTAGCAAGTGCTTTTTGCAGTAGGCTAACCAGTTTACTGTGGCTTAGGCTAATCGATAACCTTTACCTTTTCTTATCAGATTGACTTGGGCAGTTAGGCTACTGATTGTTAGTGTCATTAGAAAAGCACTGCAGGAGTGGTCACGAACGATAACTTTTAACGGTCAGTCTGGCACGCGAGATGGGGGTGGGTAACGTTAGGTGATTTGCACATCACATGAAGCAGATTTAGCTCGGTCATTGAGTAAACCGTATGCAGCGAAGCCACATGATATACGAACGATTTGTGCTTCACATTTGCACATCTCTGCATACAGACTCGATTCCTCCAAGATGTCTTTCGTCAGAGAGAGAGAGAGAGAGAGAGAGAGAGAGAGAGAGAGAGAGAGAGAGAGAGAGAGAGAGAGAGAGAGAGAGAGAGAGAAAGAGAGCAGATCTGAGAAGTCCAATTCGTTTTAGTGAACTGATTCATTCTGGCGGTTCGTTCAAATGAACCGAATCTCATGACTGATTCACCTGTTATATTGAGTCTTCTTTCAAAAGTAACGACTGAAGTCTTTGCACGTCATTTGATAAGAAAGGTTTGATTGAAACACGATAGGCTACATTATTACAAGTGATTCTAATAATGGCTTAGATCATAGCTATATTTTAGACACACAACCTGTTTTACACACCTGTTTCTGCAAATATGAGCATCTGAACTTAAAATAATTTATGCATATTACTTCTTTATGCTTAAAAGTTAATGTGTATCAATGCAATGCTTGAATGCCGCCTTCTAAGTTTTTTGTATAATGCTTATTTACAAAACAAAAATGAAGCAGGGCCTAAATTTAACAGAGATACTATTTACAATACAGGTCTAATGTCTATACACTAAATATTATGGATCTTGAATGCTTCTTGGAAACAACATTACTTTTCTAACATAGCCTAATAATCTTTCTTTCTTTTCAAAATATTGTTTAATTGTGTTAATATTGTATTTTGAAGTAATTTTTAATTGTTTATTGTCATTGTCTGTTGCAACCATGCAACTTTCAATTAATTCCTTGATTTTTGTCACTGATTGTTTTGTCTCAAGAAGATGCACACTTTAAGGCACGTTTATAAAAGCTAAATGTCCTAATTGAACTGCCTAACCCTGGCTTAATCTAACCCCTGTCTGTGAAAGAGACTCGTATATTTATTTAAACATGCTACCATTGTTCGCACACCTCAGTTTGGCCTTCGCTTCGCCAATCGGCTCGGCTGGGGGAAAAGAATCAGTTCAAAACACTGATGATTCTTTCAAGAATCAAACATGAGAAGAGAGAGAGAGACAGATCCCTCGGAGTATCAGAGGTAGTGTGGGCGTGCACAGAGAGAGAATCCTGCAAACATTAACCAGGTGGTTATTCCTCTTATTTTCCTCCTCCAAGCTGCGCTGGAGAGACTTTCCTGTGCGTCACGAGGAATTAAAGTAACTTTACTGGAGCAATGCGGGAGCCGAAAACCAGCATCTCTTCGGATACAGACCCCTGAAACCCCCACAAACTCCACTCATGGCCACCGCCTGGCCACCCGCCACACAGAGCACTTTATAAGAGAGAAATCTACCGAAATCACGGGACGAGAGCCTCATATAACGAGCAACTCGCTTTTTGATCCAGATGGCGGGACACGAGTGGGATGATTGGTTTGAACGGGAGGAATTGATAGGGCAGATCAGCGACATCCGAGTGCAGAATCTGCAAGGTAAGAGTGCTGGAGGCATGGGATGGGTAAAAGAGTATGATCACGAAGACACGAACATTGGTATAGAAGTAAGTGGAGTTGATCCACTGTCTCCATTCACCTCTCGCTTTGAAAAAGAGATACATTTACATGTAACAAATATACCGGCGATATATAACAGCGTTGCGCTTTAGTGTTCCATTATGGCAAGCCAATATAACATGCATTCCTTAACGTAGCCTACTGTATCTGTTTTTTGTTTCTCAAACCTGTTGTCTAAGGATTGGCTTATAATTAATTAAGTAGTGACTGATATGTTTTTCAGGCTCACTAATATTTAAACTAATTATTTTCTTATGCAAGTTTAAGTAGGCCTAGTTTAGATATTTAGCAGGGATACTTCTACTAGCACTGTGCTTTGGCTGGTAAGGGCATTGTCAGGGATTTGCAGTGACATTTATCAGACATCATTCATTTAATTTTCAATGATAGCTGGTGATTTCCAGTTACACTAGCAACAGCTGCCATTGTCAATGCAACAGAGTTGACACATTTATTTTTTAGCATCTTGCCATATTATTGAGGTGACGTGTCAATGTTTTAATTTGCCTAAACCTATTTGACTTGGAATTAAGACAGGTTTGTTGCCTACTTGTGTGTGGTTTCTTACTTTTCCTTGGCCTTTTAAAGCCCAAAGTATATTTAGGTTTTTATCTGTACGCAAGGTACATGATGCAAATGTACATGATGCAAATGGCGTCACCAAAATAGTATGTGTGTATACTGTTACGCCCGCCGCCTGATTTTTTGTAACTTTCTACACGCAGGTGTTTTGTGTAATGATACACTATTGTCATATTATTCAGACATAATTTATCGATATTGATTTATCGAGTCGATACTTATCTCGATACTAAACTCACGATACGATATTATTGCGATTAACAATAAAGGTTAACTTAACAAAAAAATGTACTGTTGATTAAAATGCCAAATTTGGATTTAGGGGAGTAAATTAATAAGTATGGATTTGGTGCTAGTAACACAATGCACAGAAAAATAGTGACTCCAGAATACATGATTCTGAGGCTGAAAATACTGAATTATTTCAGACTAAAACACTTGCACTCTGTCACTGACTATATATAGGCTATTTAAAGTAATGTCGGCCACTTTTTACTGGTAACGTAAGAGATTTGGCATTATCAGGAACCACAAATATCTCCATATATCCCAACATATATTTCTCACACAGAAATTTTAATTTTGGGTGAACTACTGTTTACACAATACAAATTGTTACTATGCACGATAGGCTACATATTGTTGCAATTTTTATATCGCTGTATATTGTAACACAATATATTGTTACACCCCTAGTTGTTCCACAAGGTTGTTTCACAATAGAAAATAAAAAAATAAAATAAGGATGAGTAACAAGTAGTTAGTTTTAAGGAATAAATGTTAAACTGGCTTGCCATAGTTATTATTATTATTATAGTACTTTTTGTGATTAGTAACTTGACAGCTGATAGAAGGCCCCTATACATTTGAGAAGTTCAGACAACCAAGCAATAATCCTGACTGAATTAACTAAATCTGTTCATCATGATGCAGAACCAATGGGTCACTAAAAAAGACTGAATGAATTTAGCCCTTTTTTTAGAGACAACTTTCTAGATCAGGGAAGCAACAGTTCAGGTCCTACTTATTTGACGCATAAACAAGAATAAATCATTGGCCTGGAAAGAATTGATTTAATGAGCAGGAGTTTTACACATCACTGATTGTGCATGTTCTCGGCTTTGCCATCAATTACTTTAATGTGTGCCGTTAATCGCTGCTCAGTGTTGGCCGGTGGCATTTCAGGCTGTTATATGTGTTTAGTATTGCAGGTTTCATGACTATGAAGGACTAAATACATGTCAAGAAGTGAGAGAATGAACATTAGGGCCTGTAAAGTAGCTCTCTGAAAACTTTCAAATTGATATAAGGCCTCTAGGTTGCTTCTGTGACCTAGGGCTGTTCATTGCAATAGGGATTTTTAGGATGTAATATGCTGATTTCATGCAGCCGCCATTTTGAAGTCGAAAGCGAGGCTCCGTTGGGAACAACCCCGGAAGTACAGAACAGATTGGTCTACCAACCTGAAGCTGCTGCCGCGATTTACACTATTGGATGTTAATATCCAATATCGGATATGTAGTTCCTTCCTGCTTCTTTTTTACGTTCTGAATTATATATAAAAAATTAATTTCACTGTAAATAGTCTAAAGTATGAAAGAAATGTATGTACATTTTTAGAATAACTAATTTCTACATTAAACACAACAATACGCCATCACATTCGCGACTCTCCTATAATTAAAGACGACACTTCTGGTTTTCTTCCCATCGGAGCCATTTCAAAATGGCGGCTGCAAGAAATCAGCGTAAGTGGCTTGGATTTAGGATGTATAGGGCTTAGTAGCAGAGAAATTACTGGAGAGTATAAATGAAGCATTACAGAAACCAGATGCTGGAAGCAGATTACATAACATATTGTCTTATAAAAGCTAAAAGCAATGCCCGGATTGAACTTCTGGATTTTCAGTGCAATAGTCTGCAAACCCTTGAGAGCTTCTAGATAATTTGGAATGCAGGCTAAATCTATATCTATGCATGCACACATCTTCCACTATACAATATTTGGTGATGACTTAATAAGTAAATTTTGTATTGTTATTACAAGTTATAGTTGTTCATTGGTGGTATATTCGCTCTTTTTCGTGATTGCTGATTATTTTGACATGTGTGCACTGTGTGCATGTGAAACAAGTATATTACAAATAATTCTACTAGTTATCTTCACCAACAATATATGATGCCTGAAACTAAATCAGTTACCTATATTGAATATGTTTCTCAATAGTAACTTTTTATATAGTAACTGTGGTTAGTGGCTTTTTTCTTTTTTGTACAAGTGATCTGAAGATACATTTAGCTCACGAGACGTTTCACAATATTGGGTCCGCGAGACAATATTTTAACACTATTTTACGAAATCTTTAAAGACAAAATATTTGACTGGAAAGTGACAAAATGCACAGCAATGCAGGATGGATGTATTTTGAAAAGTTTTGACTATAGATCTTTCTGTCACTTGTTATTGTTTTGGCAGTAATTAGTCGATTATTTTGACGATTTTTGTTCGTTTCGAGTAATTAGTTGATTATTTTGACAATTTTTGTTCGTTTCGTGTAATTAGTCGATTATTTTGACTAATTACTCGAACTTTCGAGTAATTAGTTGATTATTTTGACTAATTACTCTTACGAATTGTTTCGAGTAATTAGTCGATTATTTTGACGATTAATTGAGTAATCAGATTTTTAATAACATAAAAAACATAACAATGAGGCAATAATAATCGGTTCATTCAAAGTATCAAAAGTAAGTAACAATTAGTTTTTGTTGAAGAACACTGTTAAAATACTAAATGTAATGCATAATGGAAAAATAATCAAGCAATGCACACATTACGTATTATAACAAATGCCAATATTTTAGACTTTTGTGTGTGCTTTTCCCCTTATTTAGACTGAATAAAGCAGGAAGACTGCAGCTTATGCTACAAGGAAAGCATGTTTGACTTTTTTGTCATAAAGGTCTAAAAATCCTCTAAAATGGTGAATTTCTAAACTTGCCACAAAGCAGAGCACCGCTGATGATAGCAGTATTTAGTGCATATAAGAGTCGGACATCTGCTGAAGCGTTCTGAAGTGCTGAAACAGAGCCAGTGTGCTTTAGAGTAGAAAAAGTGCAATAAAGTAGAGATCGGTGTGAATATACTGGACTCTCATTGGATGAGTTGTCAAGCAGGACAGATTTTCATATGAAGTGTTGAATGATAAATTGCTCAAGTACCCCCTCCCTCCCTGTTTCACGTGCACACTTGCATACTTTTTAGGCTCTTTTTAGAAGGCTTTTCAAGAAGAGTTGACCGTAGGGTAGAAGACCGAGTTTGCAGAAATGTCTGGACACCATCTCCTTGTTTTTTCCGTTATTCTCCTGGTTTTATATGTAATTTTCCTCGGGCAGCTGAAGCTACTCTGATATCCACTCAGCACAAATTTAGCCTCACTTCAAAAATCTTCCCTTCTGTTCCCTGTTTATGCAGAGAACACGATGAAATGATGAAATCTAAGTTCATTGTGAACTGTTTTGTGACATATTGTTTGGTTAAAGGGATAATTTACTCGCCCTCATCATTTACTTATTTTCTTTATGGAACAGATATAAATATCTATACCAACATTTCTATATCAACATATCGATAAAGAAGATATGTTGGGGGGGGGAAATCTGTATTTAAAGGGATAGTTCACTTTGAAATAAATTTTTGATATGTTTTAGTTTTCCTCAAGGGTCTAGTGTCTTTGTTTCCACAGTATTTTAAATTTTGATATTTTTAGGTCAAACCGTTGTTGTCTGTCAGTCATATAATGGAGGTCTATGGGGTCCTCCTCAAAGAGCATGCACAGAGAAATCCAAATTAAACATGATTTAATGACTCGTAAATGTAAGTACACACTGACGGCCTAAGACACGAAACGAGGGGTTTGTGTGAGAAAACGATCAGTATTTATATTATAATATAACTCTTGTAACCACAGCCACGTCCAAGTGATCTGAGGGCACAGGCGGGCGCATCGGTCTGCGCAAGCGCTGGAAAGTGCCGGAAGTGATCTCTCGCGCTGTTGCGCTAAAAAATGAAACGTTGTCTGTTGATATTTTGAAATTGTCTTCCATTGCAATTTCCTGTATATTTAAATATATTTAGATCCTCACAGTGAAAGGTAACGCTTCCGAAATCTCTGTGTAAACAATGAGTGACATACTCAGATCACTTGGACGTGGCTGTAGTTACATGAGGTAAAAACAATATAAATACTGTTTGTTTTCTCACACAAACCGCTCGTTTCGTGTCTTAGGCCATCAATGTGTACTTACATTTACGAGTCATTAAATCATGTTTAGTT